GCACAGCACCGCAGCACAGCACCGCAGCACAGCACCGCAGCACAGCACTGCAGCACAGCCTGCCTGCTGCACACTGGCATCTCTCTCCATTTCCGTAACGGCCCCGGAGCACCGTGACACCAGCAAGCACTTAACCAACCAAGGCCTGTTCTGACAATGCACTTGTCTGAATAAAGTATTCGCGCACTTAATTAAGCTGCAAGCAGAGTGTCTGATCTCGTAATGATCTCCACGTGGCTCAGGAACGCGCACAGCTCTCACAGGCTGCAATCAGAGCTGCTAGGATTGTCCTCATCTGAACATTTTCTCCAAAAGAAAAAGAGCTTTTCATCTACAATGAAAACTGCTCAATTTTTTTTCTACAACATCCAGTGAGCTGAAAGGCTATTTTTTGAGTCACAATGATTTTCTTTCCTAAGAACTGGCCTTTAGCGAAAGGATTCTGTTTGTGAATATTAAAACTAATTTTTGTAAGTAAAGAGTGATTTTTATTTTTGCCCCTCAACAAAGGCAGCTTCAGCAAACAAAACCACAAATAAGAAAGATGTTGAAGAAAGTGTAGAGAACATTCTTTCTCTTCCCCCTCCCCTCAAAAATTTCCTGTAAAGGAAAAAATAAATGTCTTTCTCCTCACTCACAGAACAATAGAGCCCCACTCTCACTGCTTTTAGTCAGGCAGCTCTTGAATTAGCATCCTCTTAAGGGATGTGAGGATGTAATTATTGCAGCTGACCCCACACAATCCCATCCTAGGCTGCAGTCTTCCGTTTTCCCCATTACCACGTCTGTCGCCTACAGTTCTCAGGATTTCAGACGGAGCAAAACACGTTTGCAAAGCAGTCACACAGCGGCACAACGCCGTGTACCAACCAGTGCCAACATCCCCACATCAGGGTGCAAGCAAGAGTACCACCAGATCTGCACCTGCAGCTGCACCAAAACCTGTTCTGAACTTCAGCCTCCTGAAAAACCAACCCGGTCTTTTCCTTTTTTCTTCTCTCAGGCAAAAGCCAAACCTCTTTTCTCCAAGCAGCATCACAGGCCTCGTTCCCTGAGGCTGGCCCCATGGGCACCCCGCAGCCCCACAGCCACTGCATGGCCCGGCTGGTCGCTCTGCAATGAGCCCACGCTGGGTCTTGAACGAGGGCTTTAAGGGCGTGCGTTGAGGGAAAGGGGAGTGCAGGTGGAGCAGGAGCTGTGCAAGCAGCACCCAGACACAACAGCTCGAAGATAAGAGCAATGGACGGATTTACTGTGCTGCAGATGGCTCTAGATCTTCTCCACAACCGACGTTCTCCTGGTGCACTCAATTAGCAAAATCGTACAGCGACGGATGTTTATGCACCATGATTTATGCTTCTATCCAAACATCAAACATTGCTCTCAGGGAACACTTAAGCCTTCCACATTGGCACTGCCTTACAAACCACTATCAGTGATGAGGTTAGCAGCTCCGAGGCCCTCTGCAAGCAAGCACAAAGGATAAAATTGAACTTCCTTTTAAGAGCAAGACTAAACAAGCAATTAAGAGTCCAGGATGAGACCATAAAGACACTGGTTTCATGCCTGAGATGTTTTCTCTTTAAAATTATAAAGCCATTGGGTGTTCTTCGTTTCTGTCTCCCAGATTTTGAAGGTGAGGTTGAGAAGAGTGAGAGAGCTGAAAGGAGCGATTACGCACTGCAGTAATTGGAGGAACATCAGTCACGTCTGGGAGTTGGAGAGGTGCTTCTCTGTGCAAGGAAAGGCAGCAAACGACACGTTGCATTTACCTGCTCCTTTCAGTGCTTGTGCTGCCGGAGCTGCAGTCACCAGCTGCATTCTGAGATCCTCAGCTAACAGCTGCACAGGGAACAGCACGCCTCAAACCCCGCCATGCTGCTACCTGGGAAGTTCCCTTTGCTGGCCAAATCAGGATTGGAAATGGCTCTTAACCTCCTGCCCTGCACAGTGAACACAGTGCACAGCGGAGCACAGAGATCCCATCCCAGGGCGCTGGGACCCAGCAGGACCTGGGGCAGCAATGCTGCAGAGCTGTTGGGGAAGGGAACCACTGAGGGATTCTCTCATGCAGTGTCAGAGCAAGTCGTAAATTCAAGTGACATCTCATACCTAAGGACAACCGCTGGCCATCAGGGTGCTGGCAGTAATACAGCTGTTAATAGGTGGCATTTGTTACATTAAGGCAGAAGTTGGTTCATTAATAACAACAACAAACTAATGCAGGTAGGCACCTGCACGGTGGGTTAGGGATGGAAACACTGATGCGGTCATTTACCTTATCACATGATGGCTGAACTAAATAATGATAATGAAGGAAGGCTACGCAGGTGGTTCTACACCTTCAGTATCGCTGCCAGCGCTGGGAATCTGATATCACATCCCAGGCACAATTTACGACTCATTACTGCAGCTCTGGCCACACCCGGCAGCTAATCTAAAATTTCACACGTTTAATGAACTTCATACTTGAAATATGTGGTCTGTAAAATCTGATTTACACCGTTGTTAAAGTGGTTGGTGTTTGAAAGAAAGTGTATTTTTAAGTGTGTATTTGTGCACAAAGATTTTTTTCCTGAAAACCCCAAACCCAGGCACTAATTTACTCCAAAGCATATAAAATGTTCCCTGCAGCGTAATTTCTAGCGCAGTATTTCTTTCAGCACCTCAGATTTACTCCCTATGTTCCTTCAGGACCAACTGCATTCAGTTACAGAAAGGAGCAGAAAGCGCTCGCAACGTCACTGCAGGTACTGGGGGCAGTAAGTTACCCTGACAGTCGGCTTGTGATGGAGTGCAGGGGCTGTAATTAGTGCTTACCTGTCACCATCATAAAAACGCTGCATTTGGTCAGTTCCTGCCTCAGCCATACAAGAGGTACCTCGCAATCCCAGTTCATTCCACCGCGTTAGCTTTTTATTGGATGTTAACACCTGATATTTCCTTCAGGCTCTGGTTTTACTGAAGGCTTTGTCACATTACGTTCTTCCAAGGCAGAATGGGAACAGGAGCTGAAATAAAGGGGAGAGGGAGCACTTATAAATCTCTGCCCACACGCATCCTTGTGGGGAAAGATCCCAGAAGACGCAGAGGCTGCTGAAGGAAATAGCTGTCACTCAGATGTGAAATACAAGACGTTTCTTTCTGTTGAAGACTATTTATGGTGAACGGTGCACCTGTAAAAATTAGTTCCACACTTCAGTAACAAGGAGAATTAGGCTGGGACTCCAACAAAAGCTGCCGGGTTCCCTGGAGGTGCAGAGCAGCGCAGCCCCAGCAGAGCACACACTGCGTGCTTCTCTCCATCTGAGTTCAGAAGGATTTTCTCCCTGAGGCCTCAGCATTGCAAATAGCAATTTTACTTTACAAATTTGCTTCCTGGATCATTTCTCCTTGTGTATAGGAAAGATCAGATGTCAAAATGCAATCAGCAGGAGGCCTGAAGCTGCCTAGGAGCAGAAGTGGGCAGCTTTGAATAACACTTCTGCCCAGAGACAGCTGCCTGATCAATTCTGGGACAAATTTCAACCTAAAATGCAAACTGTCACACGGGTTTGGTTATCTGGATCCAGCTAAAAGGCAGCAGTGCATTCTGACAAACAAGTAAAAGGATGCTGAAGACTGGAAAGAGGCGTATCTGGAGAAGGAAAAATAGCTGGGCTTGGATAACATCTAACCCAGGTCTTTGTAAAACATCTTCATTTTACAGCCCAGCTGTCAGAGTGGAGGAGGTCCAAATTCCTGTGCCACACTGCACATCACTGATAAATGCCTCTGTGGAATGGTTCATTTGTGACCATGGTAGCAAGGGGTCCTACACAAAACCAGTCTTCTCCTCTGGGGATTTTATGTACCTTGGACACAGCAAACAGAGAGGAGGGGAAGAGCAGTGTTAAGTTTCCAGCTCAAACTTCAGTGGAAAAATTGCTTGCCCAAGTTTAATTTTATTCACCTTTGCCTTAAAATCACTTATCTGTTTATCACTGGTTTTGAATTGCTGCAGGGTTGAGTGAAGCCAAGACGACCTATTAAATATTTAAAGCTATATTAATGAACATTGGGATGCAACTGTTCCAATTACTTTCAAAAATTAAGGAAAGAACTGCGTGTGCAGCCTGAGTGGTTTGTGACCCCCTGGGTGCTCTGTGGGACCGGAGGGCAGCGAGCACGGCTGGGTTTCCCTGGACTCACTCACCACAAGAGCAGCTCCAGAAGCACAGCTCTCCTTGCTGGCTCATGCTAAGGAAGCCTTGGCAAGAGAGAAGTTAAAATGCTGGCTGCTCTTTGCTGGGACTCTGAAGCTCCACAGCTTGTGGCTGCTGGATGTCAAACTTAAGAACAGGATGAAGCCTAACAGAGACCTGGCTGGGGAGAGCTGTAGATGTTTCCAGCACCACCTCCACAGTAAAGGAGGGTCCCACCTCAGCAGACACCCACTGGCAGCAGCACCTCCACCACCACAACTCTGCTCTCTTCTCAGAGGTCAGATCCTGCAGAGTGAGATGGAAGGGAACACGACGTTATGAGAGCAACCTGCTCCAGCTCCCAGCTTCAGACCAACCCCAGCTGCAGGGGGAGTGGGCTAACATGGGGCCTGGCCCCGTAGGCACAGCATGGCGAGGTACTTGGGAGCACAGGATCACCATCTACAGAGGTAACACTGATCCTTATAAAGGGGAATCCTGCATCCCCTGCCTTTTCCATGGGCTGTGTTTCTGTTCATGGCATCGCCGCTGTTGGAACAGTGAACGTGCTCCGTCAGCACCGTTCTGCAGCGCTTTATCTAATGGCTACACTAAGCCTCATTTTAAATATCTGTAGCAATTTGCATCACTTTTTGACAAGTCACACGTTGCTGAAACCCAGCACTGTACAAAATGAATCAGAAGTGACATGTCTTAAAAATGCAAGAGCCAGCACAGGACAGATCCGTGTCCAACGGCAGAGAAATGTAACGCCTACAGCAGAGCCACAGCACAGCTCGTTTGGAGCAGATGTGCAACACATGGGCAAACATTCCGTATGGTGGAACGATGAGTGCAGAGCTGCCCCATCCCACGTGCCCAGCAAGGTGTGTGCTGCAGGAGTGCCTCAGGATGGAGAGCAGGAGCACGCAGCACCATCAATCCACCTCTCTTCGTGCTCTTAATTTATATTGCGAGTAATTCGACTTTCGCCTTGGTAAACAAGTTTCTGGATATGGTTAAGCTACTCAGAGTGTACATTAAAATAAAATCTGGTTCACATAAAAGGACAAATGAGAATGACTATTACCCCCATCTTTAATGCGCTAAATTCTTTTGCACAGATTGTTCTTGTTACTACTTCTTTCTGTGAGAGAATCTGAGCAGCACACAATATTCTCCTTACGTGCAGTTTCAGCAAGCCCAGAGAAGGAGGCTTTAAAGTGGGAATGCAATGATTTGAAAGCCCTTTTGTGTAACCCGCTCAGCCAGTAACAGTTAGGTCCTGTGCCACAAAGGGAGAAAGAGCAGAGAGGGAAGGACATTCTTCTGAAGGCCGGGTCTTGCAAGTCAGTAACTATCTGCACCTTCAGCTACAAGAAGCAGAAACTCAGAGGTTCACAGTGTGACCCAAAAAACTCCTCCAGCCCAAGATTTTGAGGCAAGGAAATGCTTGTGGCCTCAGAAAATCACAGCACCCAGCAGGCATTAGGCTGATGCCAGTTTTGGTACCGACCTCACGTAGGATGGACCAGGATTCAGTGCTGCTAATCATTGCTGAGTACAATGGAAAAATGCAGATTTTTCTTCTCATTACACCTTTTTGCAGCTACAGCAAAGCCATTCCTGCAGGTAATTGCTGCTCACATTTCTCAAACTCACCGCATTACCACAGGGTTGCAGAACATTGGTGCAGGCTCCATTCCAAGACAGAGAAACGCAGCAAAATGCAGCCATTGGATTGCGATTTATCAGAACTCCATGTAACAGAACAGCATTTTGTTTTGCTTTAAAGCCTGCAATCACATTCCTAATTTAAAAGCAACCATTTGGATACTCTGTGGAGTAAGTATCTTTCCTCTGAGATTGACTTTAAGGTGGGAAAGAAGTCTGATAATCAAAATCAGATTTGCTCTCCATGCTCCAGTGTGGGCGTTGGGTCTGGCCCAGGGAACTCCTCTGCCTGCTCCCATTTCCTACCTGTGGAACAGGAAGCTCAGCACCACCTTCCTGGTAAATAGTTGTTAAAGCAGGGATATTTAATGCCACGCTAATGCAGCAGAGATGCAGAGTGCATGTACAGATGTCACTACTTGAGCCACCAGAAGGAGATGAGGGCACACCGACACTTTTCTTCTCTGAAATGGTTGAAGGTAATGTTCTACAGGTTCTCACGCCACACACCAGGCTCGGGGCCGCACTATGATACCCAATTACCAGCCAGCACCTTTTTTTTTTTTCCTCCTCCTCCCTTTAAAAGAAAAAAAAAAAAGACAAGCATATAATAATACAACCACAATTTGAAAAATCAGGCCACTGGCATCCTTTGGTGAAGCTTAGGCTGAAAACTTATCCCAGGATGCGTGATCTTCCAAAAATCTGCCAACCCCTGCAGTGTTCAAACTGCTGGTATGACCACAGCCACATGAAGAATGAAATTAAGCCCCATGGAAATCTTTGACATTTCTACTATTATGCAATGTTTGGGTGAAAAAAAAAAATGGAGAAATTCTCCTTCCCTTTCCAGAGCAAGTTTAGAAAAACTATTTCTAACTTTTTTAAATTACACATTTCACCATTAAAAGAAACCGTCATAAATTAAAAGAACCACTAACTAGGGCTTATGTAACCCATTTAGGGTGGGAAATTGGGAACACTTGGGAGAGAAGTCTGTTCTGTAATTTCTGGAGCCTACGACATTCATCTGATGTGCACAAACATCAGAGAAACGGCTGATTTAATATTTGCATTAGCATTGCACACAACGGGTTAATGTTGAGAGGGAGTGCGATGCTGGCGTCCGTGTCCTACAGAATCTAAAGGGAACTTTTTAACACAGATGTAATTGTCTGAGGGACAGTTTGTTGTAGATTTACTTTGTTTCTGATATGAAAGCTGCCTTTCTTTTTGCTTGAAAGAATGCTTACAGCTTGTGGAGGGCTCACACCCAGCCTGACTCGGTACCCCACACCTGGCATATATGGATGAAATAGACAAGTTGCATAAAATTTATTTTTCCACCTTGTTTTACAACATTCCCTTTTAAGTTCTTACACATCTGCAACATACAACTCCACAGAACAATAAATAATTGGCATTCATATTTCTCTTGAACAGAGAGTATATTTACACGTTGTTTAACTAGATGACAGGTACAAAACATTGGCATCACAGTAAATATCATTTTGACACCAGAATCCACCTCCCCCAATTAAAAATTAAATTAACATTTAATTTTTAACAAATTTTAACAATTAGAAATGTTCTCAAAGGCATATAAGTACACAAATTGTAGTAGGCAGTAGTAATGGACCATATTGGCAAAGCTGTAGAACCCAGGATTTCATGCAAATCAACGGGTTTATTAACTCTGAAGTAACTAATAATGAAAACAAAATAAATGAGCCCACCCAGCTCACGCTGAAGGTCCCAGCAGGCCCTGAGATGGCCCTCACTACGGCAGCCGTGAATATGCACCAACCCCACCTGAAGGGCTGTGTGCAACAACACATGACAACGAGCTGCATGCAGGGCAGCTCACCTGCCTGGTGCTGAGCACTGCTGGTGCAAACGAAGGATTTATGATGCACCTCGTGATGCAGCAGCTCTCTTTAAAAGATAAAGCCAGAAGATGAGCTCTAGGGATTCACACATTTAACTCACCACAGCTCCCTGATCCACCATAGCAGAATTCCTTTCAAGAGTTGCAGAGGGCAAAGGAGTTTGTCACAGCATTTAATTGCGATCGTGCAGCAGACCACAGACAAACAACTCCCTCGGTGCTGCTCAGTTCGATCCAGCCACAGCTGCAGCTCTCAGCACGTAGCTCTCAACGCTGACAGGACACCAGGGATGTCACTCGTCACTCAGCCCAGTTCTGATAAGGCTGTGCTCAGATTTAAACTGCTGCTGCTGAATAAAGAATGCTGCAATTCAATTGCAATATGAGCTGAGCAGAACAAGTGTTTGCAAAGATAACCTGGGGCAAACCATGGGAAATGCACGTGAGAGTAAAGGAAAAAAAAATGAAAAGGGTTGCAACACACCTGGAATTACTGCAGCGATGTAAGGACAGAACAATGCGTGTCACAAAACCTGCACACCACTAAACACAGCACGGCACAGCTTCCCCACAGCAGGAGGGGAACAGGAGCACCCAGCACTGCCATCCCACAGCAGCACTTGGGGCGCAGTCCCAAAGCTCACACATCGCACAAACTGCTGCAGCACACAAACCAGAACAACTAAAAGGGGAGGGAGAAGAACACTGATTGAATCTACGCACAAGGTACTGCACACAAGAAGGAAACAATGCTTTGCTTCCAAGAAGCACAAATTATGATCAGACTAGATGAAACAGATTAAACTAAATTTCCAACAGAGAATGCATTTATTCACGTGTATGGTAAGCAGGAGTGTGTTTATTAAACTCTGCTTTTAAAAAGATGTTTAAATAACTTAAGAGAAATAAACTGCAGATGTAAAGTGCTAAACTTGAAAAATACAACAGTCCCTCCTCCCTCCTGCTGTTCTCTAGATGGCAGTTTTAATTTTCTGGTTACTTTAAAAAATGCAGCGTCTAACCAGAGGGAAATTTCCTCCTGGATTTACAACCTTGTGCAAAGGAACCCCGCCTGCACCCCAGGACACAGCCACAGACTGCTCCCACTGCCACCCAATGGGCCTTCGGCATCACGGTTACGAAGCAATAAATGTTACTGAAATCACAGGTCACTCCCTTTCTTCGTGTAAGCTAATATTTTGCAAATATGGTCCACTCAGTGTAAACTGTACTGACTTTGGGAAACAGTGAATTCTACCACAGACACAAGCCAAATATTTACAGGCGGTAGCGCAGCGCTGCTGTCTTCGTGGGATGCTCACACACACAGGGATGGGGATCCTACACAGATGCGTACCACGATGTATCTTCTGCAGGACAAGAGGGACTTCTTAGTGGCAAGAAACTGCCAAAGCATTCTTGATTCTTGTTCTTCAATCTATTTAAATCGGATATTGATGGGGACTCAGAACATGTGCACGTCTGACTCTATTCAGGAATTGCAGCAAGTCGCAATGAAGATAACGTGAAGCACCTTTTGGCACATGGCATCATCCACAAAACGCTGCCAGCCCAACTGTTCCAAAACAAGGCTGCACAGACACTGCTTTTTATCCTTGGAGACAAACCACTGCACGGTGTAGGACTTACAGCACCTTTCCCAAAACAACCGTGTGCCAGAGGGCTGGAAATGCATACTGTTATACTATTATTATTTTTAGGAACAATTTAGAAGAGAAGGAATGAAAGGCAACATTTTGAAAACACGCTTTTCTGAACTCAGGGTTTTCCTCACATGACATGACAACAAGGACTGGTGCTTCCTCACCCCCAGGCTACACAAATTTTTATTTCTTCTCTAATTCCTTTGGAACTTGCTTCTCTCCCCTTTGATATTTCCTCTCCATAACTGAGAACAAGGAAGGCTGCCCAGGTTGTCCAAGGCATTCCTCAGAGCAATCACCACACAAGCCACAGCGATCTTCAACTTGAAAACCCGAGAGGCACCACTATGGATCCACAGAGACTCCAGCTCTCCTTCTGAAACAACGCTCCCATTTTCCACTGCTTTTCACACCAGAGCCTTTCATGCCGCTTGCGACAGCGGCTGTGGCAATGGCAGCAGAAGCTGGCAGTCCATGAAAGGCGCCCTGCGTGGCACAGAGACAAGCAGGAGCGTCTGCTCCGTGCAGCGCCCGGCCCGGACGGGCTGCCCCAACAGCCCGGGGTGTGCAGGCACACAGCTCTGCCATCCCCGCCGCGGCGCCAGGCAGTGCCAGCCACCACCGTGGTTTTTGTGATGTGGGAACGAGACAGAAAGCAACTAATTTATCACAGACTCGACGGCCATTAGATGAGGATGGCTGCCACTATACAAGCTCGGCCATGATAGATGCACAGCCCCAACAGCAAAAGGTTCCTGTAGCTGCCGTTCTCCTGAGCTGTCTGTGCACGTGCAGCCATCCTCACTGTGTTACAATGGGGGCTGAACCTCACTACAAAAGCAAAACTCACCAGATTAAAGAATATATGTATTTTTTGCTTTGCATACAAGCCCAACGCCTTTGTACAGACCCTGCTTCTGCCTCTGATTCAAGTTTGGTTTTTAGAGTGAAGCACACGGAAGGTTCTCAAAAACTGCTTTCTGTAGAGACTTTGTCACGAACAACATCCACCCAGGAGTGCCTCCGCTTATTTGCAGCCCATCTTCACTGCTCCACCCTAACAGGAAACAGACCTGGTACAGCTGAGAGGAGCAGCAGCTCTGTGACCTTTCCTTTCAGTCTCCAAGGATTCAAGACAGTCTGCCACATTGTCTGTAGAACAGTACAAGACTCTTCTCACGTTGTCAACACATTTCAAGTCTGATCAACTGCAAATTTTTTTTCCAAAGGAAATTTGCTTTAGTTTAGATAATTCTCTGCTATACAAATAAATATACAGTAAAGCTATTATGTCACCAGCTCCTTCTAACAGGAAGCACAAAAGCTAAACAAAACTCCATTTCTTCATTTTGGATTACATTTTGCTGTAGTTATCGATGGCTGGATACCACCAAAATCACCAGGGTGAGCACTGACAGAAAATCTCAGACAAGCTCAGATTCTCAAGCGTGTGCAGACTGGAGCCCCGCAATGGGAACAGCATGCCATAAATCAGGAATCTGTTGTCAGCACTACAGCGCATCACCTACATTAAGGGATTTCCAAGATGTAAGAAGAACGTACCTACTCAAAAAGATGAATATAAAACTACACAACACATTGCAAGGAACACCACAGATACTTAAAAAATTAAAAATCGTCAAATATAAATTTTGAGGTCAGTTAGCAGCTTTTGGATGATTTTAACCACAAGTGAGAAACCAATCATCACCATAGCTGCATGCATTTGACCCCAGTTAAGTTGAACGAAAGTGACAAAAAGTGGCTGAACCAATAAGTGCCTCCACTCTCCAAAGAACTCCCTTGTATCAGTCAGTCTCCACTCATGGTAGTTGTGAAGTCTTTTTCAATGAAGCAGCATGTAATAGAGATTACCACATGATCCTTATGCAAATATCAGACGTATTTGTTTTAGTAACAACTACACAATTTTTGCCTCTCAGCCATGTGCAGCATTTGTCTCTGGTGCACAAGGAAAGCAGCCCTAGGATGTGAGCTTTGAGTAGCTTGGAGGAGAAAACCTTCGCCTCAGGTACTTCAGGACGTAGAGGGGAAGACAGCTCACCAGAGTGATGACAGTGACTTTCCACAAGAACGACAAAGTAGCAATGAAGTAAACATCTGTAAAAAGAGAAAAACTCAGCGTCAACAAAAGAGAAACATGCTCAGGGAAGAGGCACAGAGAGGCAGTGCAATCTGGCAGTGCTTCTCAAACAGCCTCACTTCCCCCACACACAGAATTTCAAAGCTCACACGATCCCTGGTACCTCACTTTTCTGCCTCTTTCACAAATGCCTGACCCGTTCCTGTGGGATTCCAGCAGGGCATGAAACTCATTGCAGGCAAATGCACATGCATAGCCCATCTAAAGCACGGCTGTCCATCCCCTGGAAATACTGAACTCTCCTTAAATGGGCTACTTGTATGCTGACTCTGAGACTTGGCCTCTGTTACTTGGCCGTAGTCCAAACAAACACATCTCTCAACTCAGTTAGATCTCAGAGGCACTACAAAAATAGGTACAGCATTGTTCAAGACAGAGCTAGTACACCCATCTGTAAAAGACACAGATCCAGCCCATGAACAAATTACCCTCGTGGCCTTCAGTGTAAGCAAAGAGCATTATGGAAGAACTGGTGACATCTTGTGGATCCCTGAACAAACACTGGAACAAAGCCTACAGACATGATTTGTAACTAGATAACTATCGGGGGATCTGGAATTCCTCCTTTTTCCCTTTAGCCATGGAGACTAAATGGATTAACTCCCTTCCAGGCAAGATTTTTTTTTTTTTTAAAAAAAAAAGATAAAAAAAAGAGAAGGGCCTATGAAGAAGCAGATAAAGTTGGGTAAGCTTTAGGAGACAGTTACTTCATCCAGCTAAAAGGCAAAGTCTTCAAAGCAAGAGGAGGGGATCAAATTTGCACTCTCAAGTCCAGTTCACACATGGAAATAAAAGATTGCTATTCCATATGACAGCTGATACGTGGTGAAGCTGTGAAAGCAAGGATGGGATTCACTGAGCAGCATACAGCCTACTGACTAACTTTATCTCCTCTAGCACTTTGCTGTGAGAAGGAACCATAAAACATCCTTCAAATCAAGAAGTGTTTATTCTGGACAGAAGCATCACCATTATAATCACGTTGACATCATCAACAGCCTTTTAAATCCAACTAATGTTCTTACAGGCCAGTTAACTATTCAGGTCATAAAGCAACTGAATGGAGAAAAGACATTTAACCTTACCGATAAATTCATGTAAGAAGACCAGAGAAGCTATGTAGCAGGAGAGACTAAGCAACTCAGCCACTATCATGAGCCAGTGCCATGTCTGGATTGTCAGTGCCACCATCAGTAACTCTGTGAGGATCAACGATGTGAAGGAAATGGCGACAATGTGAACAAATTCAGACTCAAAGAGGAGGAGCGCTCCGTACATGATGATGCTACCTGCAGGAGAGCAGCAGACCCATTGAGTGTTTTACCCTAACACCAGTCAAAACTCTAAAAACCTACTGCTAAGTCTTGGAGAGATTGAAACACAGCTGTGTCTTGAGACTGTCATTACATTCCACAGGTTTCATGAAAAACAAGGAATCCGTTACTATTTAGGAGACAACTGATAAGACGACGGGGAAAAAAGTTACTGCACAGATGCCCAGATTGTTGTATTAGTCTATCATATTCACAGACACGTGGAAATTGGAAGTGAACGCACAGTATTTTGGCAGCTGGTCACTTCTATAATCATGAAAATCCATCCTCCCTGAAAAGCAGCTGGTCACTACTCAGAAGCTGGAGGATATCAAATATTGCTAAGACCCACTGCATTGCCTCAGCGCTCAGATGGAAGCAAAGTGCACAAGTTAGCTTCTCTTTGCCTACTTCAGCCAAGTTCTCTCCTCCTTTACACGTCTCCCTAATAGAAGGGCACACCAAAGCACGATTAACGATGCATTGTTTCACGCTCCTATTCTGGCTTTAGCTGGAGAATGTTCACTGCGCCCTGCACGGCCACCTGCACAAATAACTCATGTTACCAGCATGAGTAATCTGCACCAACATCCATCACACCAGGCTCCTTTCGAAAGGAAAACCTGCAAGTGACCAGAGCTCAAGCCACGAAGTTCAAATCCAGCTGTGAACGTTCCAAAATTTAGGGCTGCTCAAGTTTTTAGTCAGTCTCATCTCTGCTAGCAACTAGTTCAATTGTTTTCTAGATATTGAGCACAGCAGAAGTGAAGTCAATTTTGCCAAATACCACAGCAAGATAGTGGGAGAAATCTTTCCCTCACTTCATCACCCTCTGGCCTTAGCTCTCCACCACTTGTGAGCTCTCTGTAAATGCCGTGGCCTTGCCATCACATTCACCCAGCAGCAGAAGGTGCTAGCCCTGTCACGGGGTGCTACTGCACTAGGTTTCAGAAGATAACATTAACAGAGCTTTTGTATTCTTGGTTTCACTCCCTACAGAGGATGGTAACATCATTTAAATCAGTAAGAACTAGCTGCTAACTTTGGCACGTTTATGCTGACTCTTGCTGATACAGGAGTGCTGGAAAACAAGACATTTTGTCACAGGATCACGTTGCCATTTGAGCTTTGTAGCTCAACACCACCTGCGTGCTTCCTGTGATTCCCTGGTTAACAGCTAAAGAAAGGATCGAGTTGGAGGTTACTTGATTTTTAAGAAGGCAGTTTGAAAGAAAAGGCCTTCTTAGACATATTCCCCAGTTAGCACATCTACTGCTGAAACGGATGTGTTGTTTTTAGGGCATTTGCTTAACTCTCTTAGCAGCTTAATTAGGACATACGCAATACGATCAAGTCATTGAGCTCTACTCCAGCCCTTAATTACAGTTGTCTACAAAGTAATCAGAACCACGGCTGCTACTAACAGACAGGGTCTAGACAAAACACGCAGATATGCAGATTCTGTGTTTTGTATACTGACTAAACAGCAAACACATAGGATTAGGAACCTGTTTGGAAACAAGGGACAAGTCACAAGCTCCTCCTTACAGATGGTGCAACTGTAGCACCAAAGGGAACCTGCACAAAATCACAGGGGAAATAAAGCACAATGCTTTGCACTTCTAACGTCACACAGTGTATGACAGTGATGATCAGTTGCTGATATTTATCTTTACATAATTTCTTGCTTTGGTAGCGCTGCCAAAATTTTGAGACAAAAATATGTATGTTTATTCACCATACTAAAGATGCATTGCTAAATTCACTTAACTTCTCACAATACAAACATATTCATTAGAACTTGAAAAAGTACAAGCAAAAGTTGATTTCTCACCTTGATAGATGCTTATTAAGACCCATATCAAAAATGTTTTGTATGACAATGGTCGTCCCTAAGAGGGGGAAAGAGAAAAAAAAAGCTGTATTGGGGGTTTTCTGCTATGAACATTCCTTTATAGATCAATCTACCAATTAATAAAAAGAGAATTTGAAGTGATTTGGAGAGAAAAAAAGCCAGACCAACCAACCCTGAGGTACTGTCCTTCTATTCTCATTTTTCATGATGCATGAAGGAGGCCTGGGACCATGGATGCTCACAGCTTGCACAGATCAGTACAATCTTTTCCTCACTGCACACACAATTAATTTAGTGCAAAGATGCCTCCTGAGGCCGGTCATTGTACTGGGAAATATAAGATGTGTGCATCCACAAAAGTGTAGATATTAATATTGTACTTCAATACACACAAATCACATCGTACTGAAGGCAGATAGGTTTTAAAAAACCTTCTCCAGCCAACATAGCTATACCAGTACAAAAAACCCCTATGTTTAGACCAGGCCTAAGGATGGTTGGAGAATTAGTGGTTTATGACATCAGAGACAACATACAAGTGAAACCAGATGGAGACTTATTCAGGCTGCTGAAAAAACAGGCTTTGTTTTTAAGAGTATCTGTTTAACAGAAATCCTTGAGGGAAACGATCTGCTGAAGACTCGGTCCATCCTTTCCTTCAGTTAAGAAAGATGTTCCCAGGCCGCATACCCAGCTATTCCAACAATTTTCCAGAAAAGAAAAAAAAAAGAACCAAGGACAAGATTCACCTTTCTGATATATCTATGGTAAGTAGCAGACAAATTTTCTTTTGTCTAAGGAGAAAGACCTTTGTCTTTCATGCCCAAGCAACAACAAAACACACAGCAACCAAATTCTAGGTCCCTTTGCATGACCCCGAAGGCAAATTCCAGGAAAATGCGTGATAATCTCCTCCCTTCCCCAAATAAGATCCCGTGCTCCCACTCCCTGTCCCTGTTTCTGGCTTTAGGAGAATGCAGACTCCATGGCAATTTCTCCTCTCCCTTACTTTGAAAAAAATCAGTAATGTTATATACTTCAAATTTCCCACAGAACGCAGCTATTATTTCCCATCGGTTTTCAATAAGCCGTATTTCATGTACCATTCAATAGCAAACTGTACAGAAATCTGGCTGTATCTGCTAATTCAAACTTCCCTTTGAAACAACTTTGCTTGAAAATGCTTATGTCCAATGATGAGTCCCATATCTACTGATAATACATTTGATTTAAAACATTTAGAGAGTTTCCAATCAAAATCCGGTTTTGCCCTAAGCCAAAACAAACAAAAATTGCTCATACCTTAAGAAGATCTTTGTAGAGCTCTGGGTACAGCATTGCAACTTCAGACTTAACGTCCTTGTCCAGGACCAGGGAAAACACTGGAAACATGGTGTAAATTGTGGAGTACCTGAGAAGGTAGAAGACTGATGAATTTTTTTTAACTCCAGATAAACAAACAGAAATGCTAACGTTGGGAATGGAAATACAGCATCCAAGTATGAAAGGATGTACTATAAAACTTGCAAATGAAGCAAATGAGTTTTGCACATAGGAAAAACCTGTAGGATTTGCGTTTTGAATAGCTTGTGATTAGAAACATTCATGGACAGGTGATTGGTTCAAGTACTGCAAATGATGTTATGGGCTTATTAACAAAGCCAAGGACAGACTTGTGTCCACCCTAAACTCCACTCTACAGCTCACGCTGGGTTCTGCTTGCACCAGAACAGAGCGGGGATGAACGTGCTGGTTTGGGTTGTTTTTGTTTTGTTTTCAATCATGTACACTACAGCCTATGAAGTAATGGCACTGCAGGTGCAATAGCAGTGTATTTGACTGGTATCTCTCAGCTTCCTGCAGCCACCAATTCCACCTGCTGAAGGCTTTGAGCTGTCCCCCAGCTGGCACTGCTGGGTGCTGGCTCTCCTTGCTCACAGCTCCAGCCCACAATGACCACCTCTCTGCTTCTCACCAGGAGTTCCTCCTGGAACAAGGATTGCTATTACTGTCTGACCTGAATGTGACACTCTCCTAGAGTGAAAGGCTTCTAGAAGTGTCTGCACTGTGTTGGTGTCTTTACTCAGCTCAGAGAAGCAGAGAGAGAGGGGAATGGATCACACCTTTCCAAAGCAGTACTGTGAGATATGCACACCTTGCATATTAATTAACCCAAATCCATCACTATGCACATGTTTTCCACACTATTAATAAAACGTGAGCTCTCACCCAATGATGAGAAAGCCTTGGTAGAGAGGGACTGAAGCAAAGTAAAATACTGATGAAAAAACAGCCTAGAAAAAGAAAAAGAAATAAGCTTTTCAGGCATTAAATACTGCACTTCATGTAACGGCTTAAAAACACACTCTGTTCAAACTGAAAAGTACTTGGAGCTGGCTCTCCAAATTCCTGAGACAAAGAAGAATGTAACATCAACCCTTTCTATTCCCACAAACCTTGGATGAAATCTATGTTTAATAGCAAACACTGGAGAACTGGACTTGGAAAACATTTTGTGATGCAGTTCCAGAGAAGAAAACACAAAGTTTTCTCCAGAGCCCATTGCTCTGATCAAAGCTGTTCTGAGCCATAAAGGACAGGTGTGCACTTCCTCATGCCTCTCTCCCCAGATGATGCCTTTACAGTGTAAAAAGAATTAATGCTCGCTCATACAGGCTACAAACTGCAATGAACTGAAGATTAATTTTTTGTCAGTTAAGGAAATTATAGGTTTGTTTTCTGATATATATATATATATATATATATATAATTTTTTAAAAAAGTTTTGGATACATTTCTGCTGCTGAAGCAGCTTCTTTGTCCTCTTGAGTTTCAGTCTCTCGTTTCCACTTATCCCTCTCCAACATGTTTATTCTAAAAAGATGGGGGGGAAGAATGAGCTTTCTCAAAAAGCTCAAGTATTTTATAAAACGTTTTAGTACTCTTGAGGAATGTGTTTGTACTCCATGGCACAGGAATACACATCCAGAGAGCAGCCTCCATCTAACTGTAACTTAGGCCAGACCCCGTCAGCCAGGTGCTTACCTTTGGTCCCACTGTTTGAAGACCTGACCCAAAACAAACCTGGAAATCAGTGCACGTACTCAGCAGAGGCCTTAAGAGAACTGTCCTCCCTCAGATCTTCAGTATTTCACATCATTACCAAGCCACACTGCATCACAGCAGTGTTTCCTAAGGCAAAGTATTGTTTGTCCAGTTTTGGAAAACTTACTGATGTTTGTCCAACAACAAGATCTTGTGTGCTTTCATAACAAAGTAACCGTCTGCAACCCATGAAAACTTTCGTAAGAAACAGTGGCACTCAAACTGAAAAGAACAACCTTTGCTTTTTGCCTTTTTTAGGCCACCTCTTCAAGGGAAAAGCCCCCACGACATTACCTCACCTGCATTGTGCTGATGCACAGGCTCCTGTGGATTACAAACTGACTGAGAGCTGCAGACCGTTTGTAGCTGTTCCGCCCGTGCACCATCAGTAAACGACCCAGATGTTTAAACTGAGTGATAGAGAAATCTGCCGCGAGTGATGCTTGTTTGCCTTCCTGCAGACAACAGCAACCAAAGCATGGTCAGATCATTTCATTACTGGAAACAAAGAAATATATTACTCCTACTAAGTTACCACGACAGAATTTTCCACGATAATGTGCAATACGTTAGGTGGGGAAGAGTATTACCTCAGCATTTCTGCCTTCCACCACAGCCTTTAAGCAAAGACAAAAGTATGAAAAGAATTCCCGTTTGAGTCCTGGCCTCCAACTCTAAGCAGCCCTCTGGATTATGATTCACAACATGCGCGTTACACGGCACTCATTTTGCACCACGTCGGTTCTGATCGAATGCTCAGTCTCAGCAGTTCTCTCAATGCGTTCTGGCACGCTGCAAGCAGTCTTTACCACCACCAAACCCAGTCCTTTCACTTGGAACAACGTCACATGCAGGAACTAGAGCTCTAACCTGGAGCTTTCTAAAGTAACACAATCCACGTTAATTGCATCTGTAGAGTGCATGCTATTAAAGCAATCATAACCCCAGTGTTCGGAGCACCTGCACGTGATGAAAAATCCCAAAATGAACATGGGGTCCAAGCTCAGGGAATCTCCCAGTAATCAAATAGGAAACTTCAGCTCTGCTAAAACTGCTTGTGACTTCATTACGACTGATTATTCTTGTGGAAGCCTCTCACTTCCTTGCACAGATTTCTGAGGATTCATGTAAGAGCCACTTGCTAACAAGTTTCTGAATTGCTTCAGGAAGCCTTATTAAGCAGAAGGAAATCTCACCTTTCCTTCAACTCCAACTCCACAGTCAGCCTCCTGAATCATGCTCACATCATTCCCTCCGTCACCTGCAGGTCACAGCATGGATTAATTGGTAGTTTAGCTATAAAGATGACTTTCAGCCTTATCAAAGGTGCCTGGACCAGGCTGTAATACCAGAAGCAATACTGAACTCTGTTAACAAAAGCAGGATTTAAAATTAGCACTTGGGAATTTTAATTCTTTCAGAAGGTTGTCATTCGTTTTATTTACAGACCCACGTGAATTGGAAGTCAGTGATGAGTTAAGTGTCTGGCAGGCGTACAACTTCACCTGCGATGCTGACATAAAGCTCACATTAACAATAACACTGTATCTGATGAAGCTCAAACTGTGTTGTGCAAAGGCACCACCCCAAACATCTGTGCATCTCTAGATGCAAATCTGCATCTTACCAATCATCCCACACACACACATAAAAAGTTCCTTATCGTAGCATTTCCAGGGTTATGGGATGACACCGTGCTACAGGTACCTGCTCACTCACCCCTGGTGAGAGTGAAAGATCTCCTACTGCAGGGTACACAGCTAAAACACTCTTCTTTCCGACTTCAACCTTCGTCTGTTGTAGCATGAAGCTGTCAGAAGTCAGATTTCTAGAGAAACCCAACAGTTTTCATGGAAGTCCAACCCGCTTAAAACACTCTTCAGCCTTTCCATACCAGCCACAGCCACAGATGCCCTTACAGACACTAAACCACAAACTCCTCGCCTAAGAGGTGAGCAGGAGGACACCAGAAGGAAAACAAAGCTGTTTTTCAGGTTCCTCTCAAGCACTTACCTACGGCACAGGTGAGCTTGCCAGTCCTTTCCTGCAGCAAACGCACGATCTGGGCTTTCTGTGTCGGAGCACACCTGCAGCACACGACGGCAGGGCACTGGCAAGCCAGCTCCATGAACTCGTACTCATAGTATTTCAGACACACCTAATTTACAGAGATCAGAAGCATCACTGACGTTTGTCCCACAGACGCTCCTTTACAGAGGTGAAACACAGGCTGCTGCTGGGGCAGCGCACAGCCCTACCTCCAGCGAGTCACCAGAAATGACCAGTGCGCAGTCGTGCTTCCGGCGGAAGGCGTTCAGCTCCAGGTGGGCCTCCCCACGATTTGTCACCTGCAGGGAAACACGGCGTGAGGGAGGGGCTGCTGTGCTGGGCTGAAAGCAACAGGACAAACAGGAGCCAAAGGGGGCAAAGGCAACCCGGACAGTCAGCACGCTGATAAACGAGAGGGGAGAGAACGCTGGGTTGAAAGAAGACAAACAGTATGAGTCTGCTGCTGGAACAGAGCTGCGATCTCAGCTTCCCTCCTGTCCCAGAATTTGGTGTCCTGAGCAGATGCTGAGAGGGGCACGTGGTGTTACTCACTAGTCTGAATATGTGGATGTCCTGTGTGCGTGTCACCAAATGCGCGTTCTTCGCTGTACACGTGGCTGTCTCCAGCTTATCCCCCGTCAGCATCCACACCTGAAATCCAAGCATTCACTGTGTGAAGCACAGAACTTCAGAGCCACGTCTGCAGGGCATCCAGATGAAAGGACTCTTAGGATACACATACACACATTTTCTTTCTATAAAGAAGCCCCATTTTAATACGCACAAGAAAATTCTCACCAATTAAAATCAAGATTTTTAGAGGCCAAAAGGCAAAAGAGGTCACCAACTACACACAACTTGCAGTTTTTCAAGATTCTGCTGATACAACCCACAAAACACAATCTAAGGAACACGAACACATGTGTTAACATGTCCCACCCCAGCCATTTCTTCTGTGCTGAAACAAGCAGGCCCTTCTGCAGAAATATCCCTCACGGCCCTGCCTGCAATGTGGATGATGCAACTGGGGTTAGCTCACTGCTGATGTGTGCATCTGGAACAGACTGAGTTGGTTTTGTGTTAAGGTTTTTTTGTTGCTGTATTTTTTTTTAATATATATTTTTTATTTTACATATACATAAATATATACACACTGCTTCTTTTATTTTGTGCTGGCAAGGGGGGGATGTTAGAAAGCAATGCCAGCAGCCATACTCAGCAGCAATGCTCTGCTACAATCTGGCAGAGAATTCCCTCCATACTGTAAATATGTCAGTTTGCTGGTTGTTTTTCCTTTGGCTTTTGTTGCCTTTTTTACCGCATGGCTGTTTTCACAGTTTCAAGGCAAAACCCAGGAATATTTAAACCTTAAAAAAAAAAAAAAAAGGAACGAAAGAAAAGAAGAAAACATGCACAAAGACTCACTTATTTGTTTAATAATCTTAATTTGGGCAATGATTTGATCTCAGCAGAACGGTCCCTGAGATTAATTATTAGACTGCCTCCAACTGTGATTCACCTCCTTCGTGCCCTGTGCTCACAAACCCCCAGCAGCAGCCAGAGGCAGTGAGGGTGCGACCCACACACAGCTCCCACCTGGAGGCACACAGCACTGCTGAGCAGCTCGGCTTTCTGCCATGTGCCCAGCGAGCGGCTCCAGGTCCTCCTGTCTGTGGGGACGGCTCCAAACTGAAAGCACTTCTGCAAGCTGTTCCTAAGCCAGGAATTCCACTTCCAAACTAAATCCCAAGCACAGCCCTGCTGTTAGATTTACAGTACAGCTCTAGACTTTGGTACTGAAAAGTAGAGAACCCACAAACAGAACCTTTTACCTACTTTCCTTGTTCAAATCTGAACGGTTAGTCCATCTTTTTTCCCTTTTGCGAGCCCGAGATCTGAACGGCAAGTTCTCAGGGCGGAAAACTAAGCCTGGAATCCTTCCCCAGCGGGCACAGCCGGCTCGTTACTGCCCGCCTCGGATGCAGGAGCCCAAAATCCTCGACGCGCTCCCAGCCCCTCATTCTCTTGGCTCAGGCTCCCCCTCGTGGCTGCTGTGCAGCACTGACACCCGCGCCCCAGCGGCAGCCCCACTTCCAGCACGTCCTGTGCCTGAAGTTGTGCACAAACATCAGCCAGACTCGTTGGTCCAGCTCACAAACGGCACCCACTCAAAAATTTACTCCAGCACAGCCCCAAACCGTTCCCATTTTCTGCCTGCAGGACAGCAGACTCGAAGGGGCCAGGTGCTCCTCCAGGGGTGGGTTAGGCAGACCTTAATGCCAGCATTCCTCAGCGTCTCCAGAGTGGGCCGGACGTCTGCCTGCAGCTGGTCCTCCACGCCGGTGAGACACAGCAGCTCCATCTCCATCTCGAGGCTCTCGATGACCGTGGCCACCTTCAGCGAGCGGTCATGCACGCTGAGTTTTGCCTGGACGTACCGTGCCTGGGGACAGGGCAGACACAGCCACATTCAAACAGCCAGCTCAAATTGTTGTGCAATACAGGGCTAGGCAGCGCGACCCCCAAAGCTGTCAGCTGTCATTCAGAGACACCTCTTGGAGTGGCCCATTAGCACCAGGTGCTGCTGCAGAATGGGCTGGAAGTGTTTCAGGTAGTCTGTCTGTATCCTTCTGTCCTGGCACACCTAGAAAAGCCTGGGAATGACCCCCCAGTACCTCACGGCTGCGGTGACTGACCCTTCCCCAAATGAGGGTCACAGAGAATCCAAAATCTCTCTACCACCCCATCGCTGTGTTTGCCCACAGTTCCCTCTCATATCTTGCCTGCCCACAGGAGCCCATCTAACAAATCCCACACACAAAGCCTGGCTGTGCTGGATGTGGGATGTTTGTAGCTTCCCCCAGTGTCAAAATGCAACAGTGCAAATTAAAAGCCAATACACTGCCCAGACAAACACTATTTGCCTAACAAATAATGGATATTTGCAGAACATGTCACGGCAGAGGATTATAAAGCAGGAACTGGGAACTGTTGTGGAGATTCCTGGATGGGATCCAGTTTCCTACATATCACTTTTTAAAGTCACTTTGATTAAAAGAACAGCAAGACACTGAAAAATGGCAATTCTAGCAGAAGGAATAAGGAGATGAGAGGCAGCATTATCATGAAAGGTCTGTGAGAGTCATTTCTGTGATTATTAGTTTAAGAAAAAGAAACAAAAAACAAGAAACTTACTTCAAAGTCTTGATACTGCTCTTCAGTGAGAGACTTCTTGGCTACAACAAGAACCCTCAGGCCTTCCCGAGCCATGTTACCACACTGGAAAGAAGAATCACATTGTAAACCATAAACTCTATCTCAAGTAAGATGATTTATGCACAGCATTTCAGTGACTGCAGTGCCAGATAGCAGGTTAAGAAAATAACTGTCCCATTTGAGCAACCCCAGCGAGTCTACAACATCTGATAAAGTGCATGATAAACTCAAAAGGAAAAAAGGAGATCTGCAATGGTTTGCAATCTATCCCAGTGATCAGAAACAAAACTGTCCCTTCTGCCATATCACTGCGGCAAAAACAGCCCCACTGATTTCATCTGCTCTGCCTCTAAGAACACAAAACTTTGATTTGATGACTTGGAATCTATGGCCATAAACTCAATAAAATAAGGCCAATGCATTATTTCTATGAACGTCGAGGCGTGGGGCTGGAGAGAACCAGTAACCAAAGCCACAGCTACAAACTGTGTGTTGGCATTACTGCAAATCTGATGCAAAGCTGCAAAATGGAGTTTTGAAACTAAAAGACTTTTTTCAGTCTGAAATAAATCCAGACACAGAATCAAGCTCATGACAAATGTGGTGACCCTGAATGGCAGTAAGTTTTGAGTAACATCCATTTTATTTATGGACATTACTCTGCACTAAGCATGTTGAACTTGCAACCCGATTTCCCTGTTACTGCATATATGTTTGGCCAAAGACTAACCCACTGAAGCACGCATGATCTTTTGGCCTGCAGGTATTTTAGCACTTGTCTCCTTTGTGGCAGAATGACAACAGAAGCTTTGTCAGGTGCTGCCCTGGTAGGAGAAAAGCACTTACACAAGGAACCCCCATGCTAAGAGAGACTGCCCCATACCTCCTCTTCCAGCCAGTCGTTGTACTGCACGATCCCAGCCATCACCACGTCTGCTCCCTTCATGTAGAAGGTGATCTCTCCCGTTGACTCATCCTGAAGAAGCAGAAGAGTCAATGCTGGGGCAATATTAGCTCCCTTGGAGCGGGCTAAGCAAGGAGTCTTTCACAAAATCACAGAATCTCAGGGGTTGGAAGGGATCTCAAGAAATCATTGAGTCCAACTCTTCTGCTAAAGCAGTTCCCTTCAATGGGTCGCACAGGTGGGGTCCAGATGGGCCTTGAATATCTCTCCATAGAAGGAGACTCCACCTGCTCTGTGGGCAGCCTATGCCAGTGCTCCATCGCCTTACAGTAAAGAAGCTCTTCCACATACTGGTATGTAACTTCCTACGTTCAAGTTTTAGGCCACTGATCCTTGTCCTATCACTATGCACAACCAAGAAGAGCCTGGCCTCATCCATTTGCCTCCCACCTCCCTTCAGATATTTATAAACATTTAACAGATTTCCCTCAGTCTTTTCTCCAGGCTAAACAGACTCAGGTTACTCAGCCCTTAACCATAAGGGAGATGCTCCAGGCTCTTCACCTTTGTGACCCTTCACTGGACTCCTTCTAGGAGATCTGTCTTTTTAGAACTGGGGAGCCCAGAACCAGACACAACATTCCAAATGTGGCCTCAGCAGAGCAGAGTAGAAGGGGAGGATCACCTCCCTCAACCTGCTGGCCACACTCTTTTTAATGCACCTTAGAACAGCATCAGTCTTCTTGGCCACAAGGGCACCCTGCTGGCTCCTGCCCAGCTTGTTGTCCACCAGAGCACCCAGGTCCTTCTCCACAGAGCTCAACACAACAGTCACAAAAGTATCTTCAGCACTGGGTCAGGCTGAAAGCCCCTGTGGCCCAGCACCTTGTCCTGGGGCTTGGAGATTCTACTCAATTGGAATTCAGGCACTTGCAGCAGGAATTCAGACAAGTGTGATCAGCTTTGTAATCAGCAACATGTGATCCTGACTGTGTGTGCCTTCAGAACAACCTCTGGCCCTACCCTGAAAACCTGCTTCATACTTATCGAAACAATAAAACAGATGCACAAAGCTTAACAGACTGAAAGGCACTCTAATCTGCCCCTGTTACATTATACAGTATGGGCATAATTACAGTTTATGTTTGCTGCAGAAAGGTTAGCTTGCTGCCTGCCTTATCTGATAGAAGTAATTTGCAGGCTGCAAGCAAAGCGTATTTACATTACCACAAATTAAAAAATCCCTTCTAACCAGGCAGATACCTAAGGAGGTCACAGCTATCAGTATTACAAGCTAATGGAAACTCTGGCAATTTCCTCAAAGGAGACAAAACAATGAGTGAGGAACAAACCGCTCCATCAACCAAGATAGCCACCAGGGATAGGAAGAAAATAAACTTCACACACAAAAACAAAAAGCCCAGGAGGGTCTGGAAATACACAGCCATGAACAGAGGAGGAGAAATTAAAAAAAAAAAGCACACAATAAACGCTGTTTCATTTTTGCACTACATAATATGGGTATCAGTTTGTTCTGCCATTACTGAAACCGGTGACGACGACTCTCCCACACACCGTGCAAGTCAGCAGGTAAAAGCCTGATGTCCCATGGCACCAGTGGGACAGAATTCACTTCCACAGCAAGAAAAAGCAGCACCTGATGCTGATACTAAAAATCCAAAGAGGAAATAGAAGTGTCTTGGCTGGGAAAATTAAGTGGCCAAGGATCCTTTACTGAGCATTTTAACCAAGCTCAAAGATCTTCACAAGTATGATTCTGATGATTAAGCTTCAGAATCCTTTCCAAAGCCCTGAAGCATTCAGCCTTCATGGACCAACAGCCACACATCCCACCTCCCCAGAGCAAAATGAGTGCCGCTACCAAAACGTCCTCAAATAAAACACCACACATTTTGTTAGAGGTAAAGGTAAGGGTGTATCTATTCAATTATTTGATTTAGAAGCGTCCACCAACATCTCTGTAGGAAACTGCATAAGGACTCCACTTCCCGTGCTGCAGAACTGGCTAAGATAGCTGAGAGGTTTTGTCCAATATAAATACTGTATCAGCTATCTCCTTGCATTAGTCATTTCCTCTCGGCAAGTTCAGTAGGAGGTTACAGCGTTCTCATATTATGGTGAGATCGCACTATAAATCCACACAGAGATTTGCCAGTTACATTGTTTTGGAGAAGCATCTTTTTCCACCATGGTCTGATTCTGGCTGCAGTTCAAAGGCTTCTCTCAATTCCAGATATGACAATAGCACTATCTTTGCTTTGCAACAAAGATCATTCCACATGGGTAAGGGGAAAAAAAGCAAAGAGAAAGAAGAATGGAAAAAGTTGTGGTCAAACAAACAGGCCTCCTTACAAGAAGATAAGTAAGTAAATAGCAGTGCAAAGAGCGGCTGCTTTGTTAAAACAGGACTTCTTAGAACTGAAATAAGCAGCTAAAGAAATGACAGTTGATCATACGTAACAAACAGATCTTGCAAAAATATCCCAAGCCAGGCAACATCTGCTGCTTGTTTTCACTATCGACCACGGCTTTATTTACTAAGAGCTGTGCGTTGGAGGAGACCTTTTTTGTGAGGGCCAGAGAGGACAGGAGCAGCAGGAGAGCTGCGGTCCCTGCGAGGATTCTGTGCCACTGCCCAGCGCTGTGCGTGTTTCTCTTACTGAAATCCCAGACCCAGGTCGTGCAGGAAGCCTGGCGAGGCACTGACAATGGCTCCTGCTGCCTGAAAAATGGCAGTTCCTCTGAGCGGGCAATAGCTGCATGGATAAGCAGAAAATACCATCACCTGACTCCTACTTGGTGCAATTCTGAGTGCAGTTTGGCCCTGCAGCTGCTCTCTCCCCCCTCCCAGCACATTGCTTCTGTTGTCTCCTTGACACTTCATGCTACTTTCCCTTTTTTCCAGCTTTTAGACACACAGCACAGCAGTAAAAGATCTACTGAAAAGGTAACCACCTTGCAAGCCACGGATCAAAACCAACATGACTGCCCACACATGTAAATACATACATTCAATAGTTTTATTTGTTTAACTATTCTTAATGCAGACTGCCTTAAGACAGTGTTTTAGAGCAAGGTAACACCAGGCAGTCAACACGTGCTCCTCAAACCCCGGTTCTGCATGGGCTGCTATACCAGCACAGCAGTAGCTCACAGCTGCAAAATGAAGACATTTAACGAGCACAAAGGGTGGGCACTGCTTCTGCTAACAGCACAAACCTGTCCTACAGACACCGGCTCTGGCCCTGGCATTGCTCCTGCTGACCAGCAGTGGGAGTTGTGCTGTTTTCTTCAGCAGTGCTATGTTAAATACAGCAACACACAGTAGGCAAACTTTTCTTCCTAAATGAGAGGAATGCAGCTAACAGTTATTTCAAAAGGCATAAACTTCAAATCACTGCTTTGTATCTTATTGTTTTACTACACATAAAGGAGGGGGGATAAAAGGGAACCTTTCCACTTAGACAAGAAAGAATTTCAGATATTCCATATCTCCGCTGAGCACACAAACAAAATTTAATGAAACGTTCTCTGGTTTCTTACACTTCTGACACAAGAACAAAAGTCTGTGCTTTATTACAAGCAGTCGTGGAAGAAAGAGTATTTATAGCTCATCTTTTTCTTCTCGGACTTGGAAAGGCCACCTGAAGTCTCTGCACGGCTTTCACTGTAAGATACAATCCAGCTGAAGACGCTGCGCTTGCTGCTCGTGGCAGCTGTCCCATGCAGCACAGCACAGCTGTGTGTCCAAGCACATTCAGCTGGGGCTGTACACTCAAACATTTAACACACTGCTTGCTTTGCATGAGCTCGGCCCATCAGCCCATTTCAACAAGCATTCCTGCCCCCAGGCAGGCTTTAATATTCCCAAGCCTGGAACAACTTGAAATATGTACTCGTGCCACCATACTGAGGCCTGTGATCCAGCATTTGAATGACATTCTTTGGGTGACAGAAGATCCCAGTCCAAAATACTCAGGTGACATAAAGCAAGCATCCATTCACACGAGCTTTTGGGAATTTCAATCTGTGCAGAACACAGATCGCCACACATGGCTTTGCAAAGGTCACTATGTGCACATACTGCAGCTCCATCCTAATCACAGAATCTCCCAGTAATGGGAAAATTGAAGTTCTCTGTGGCATCTACTGTTATTGAATACAACCGTAGTGTTGCACAACACGACAACATCATCCCCTCACGGTGCAGTTTCTGACAGGGGCTGAGCTCCAGAGTTCAGGTCTGTGAAGCTAACAAATGCAAACAAACCACATAAATCTGCTGCAGAGGAGGCCCATGTGTAGATATTGCTCACAGCTGCTTGCAACAACAACAAAGGCGATTCCTGTTACTGCTGTACCCTAAACATGAGGCAGAAGATATTTTACACCCTGTTCCCAGATACCCCAAAATAAATAGGAAGCAATCCAAAAGGAGGCAAATATCAGTCTTACCCATTCCCCACCTTAAATAACAAGGCTGCAAATCACATGAAATGATACAGCAAATCATTTATTGTCCTGGATTATAGGTTTACTACTCATACTTTAAATTCCTGATACCAATTATCCGTCGGTGCTTTCAGTAAAAATAACAAGGATGTTTTAATTATCTGCAAAAGAAATATTTAAATTGCCTCCTCTCATTTGCTTTGCAGGAAAATGGAAGCGGCTCACTTCAGCTGGGCTTGTTCATTTTCCTAGCTTCGATTCTCTAGCACTATCTTGAAAATTAATGGCAATAGTGGCACCAATTCATTCCTAGTGTTTTTAAAACACCTACACTTTCTTCTTTCTTTCCACGATAATTAACTTCTAAGAGTCTTATCTCCTACTGTGTTTGCAGACAGACTCACAAAGGTACATGCACCATTTCAGCTGGGCACACACAGCCTCCACAGCGCCTGCCTGCTGATAAACTTACCCACTTGCACTGATGCACCCTTTTGCCTGCACTCAGCTATTTTCAAACTCTGCTCACGATATAGCATTCTCAGCATGGTTTTGAGCTGCTAGCTCAGGAAAAAAACCCACCATGTTCCCCGCAGCTACATCAAATGCCTCCTCTGGAGTCCTGCACTTCCACAGGACCCAGCAGAGGCGTGGGCAGTGCTTCCCCACCACCAGGAGCAGCACGCTGACGTTGTGTGCAGTGGCACCAATCCATGATCCCTCTGCTCCTCCTCAGTTGCTGTCTCCATCCTCCTGTTACATGCCAACAGAGCATGGACAGAGCAGGACCTTTTGCAGAGGAACATTGCAGAGATTGCCCGAGGGATGCAGAGCAAAGCTTCAGAGTCAACTGGAGCTGCCCTGAGGCTGGTGGGGCCTCACCCCTGGGGAGAGCAGTCCTGCACTCACTGAGCTCCTCTTCCTCCGTGCCAGCCGCCACAGGAGGGAACACTGAGTTCAGGTCCCAGGGCAGGGGATGGCTGTGTCTGTTTCATTTGCTGGCAGTGCTGGCTTCTAGCTTTCTAGGGAGAGGCTTATTTGAGAAACAACGTGGCACCTCTGCTTATCATCAGAACTGCTGAGGTTCATTGCACAGCCAGCCAAAACATTCTGATTTTCGTTCCTTATTGCCCAACCAAGCCCCTCCTATTTCCATGGCCATATCTGACCAAGGAAAAGGACGTACCACCAAACTAACCCAGCACTGAGATGCTGCTGGCTCCAACCACAGAACCAGCCTGTAGCCTGAGGAGCCACACTGCTCCAAGAGCAAAAGCACTGTGCCTCCCACACTGCATTCGCAGGACAGCCACAAAGACAGAAGAGCGTTGCTGAAGCCACCTACCCGGACGATTATTCCCATGCGTTTGCTCTCGTAAGTGAAGGGGAAGATCTGGAGGATGGTGAAGTTCAGGATGTGGCCACCCGGTGTCCTCAGCTGCATAGAGGACTGGTCTCTGCCCACCAGCGTCAAGCCCACGCTCTCGGTCCACTGCACCAGGGCCACCTGAGAGGGAAGGCACAGCAGGCTGTAATCTAGCTCTGAAATTATGCTTCATGAATTAAAACCGTTCCCATTCATTGAGCCTGAAAGTGAAAAAAAGCTGCCTAACTGGCACTTCTTAACAGAGAAGCCCTTCCCTCCACACATCAATCTCTTCTTCTTACTTTTTCAGGATGGCAGCACAGCTGACACCAGCCCATACATCAGCAGCCTTCAGAAAGGATCAAGGGACACTTCATCCAAACAGACACAAAATATTACAAGTATTTTACAGTGACGTTTTCAAAGCTTGAGAGCATTGGGCACGGGGCTGCTGCTGATTGAAGGTTAATTATTCCTTGGGCTTTTGGGGCTCTGATTTTACTTAATTATTACCCAAAATTTCTTAGCAGGAAATGGCATTTATTGTGGGAAATCACTAGATACAGGAAGAAATTAAATCTACAAATACTCGCGTCGACTCAAGATTTTACTAAGGAAGTTAATGCAGCTGGTCTAATTGGACAACCCTTTGTGTTCTCAGCTCCTTTTTCATCTACTGTTAAGATTAAAAAGTGACCTAAAATTTCTCTAGTCTTAAACAATTATGAAAAAACACAAGCTGATTTGGCTTTGTTCTTAAAGGCCTTTATGTCATTTTGAGTCGGTATTTGTTTTTATGCTAGTCAGTTTTTGTAGGCTTATTCACAACGTCTACAACAAATCAAAGGATCTTCTGAGATTCTTTTTCAACTTTCCTTGAGACATCCTCCATGCATTACAGCGTGCAGCTGCATAATCCTTCTCACCGCCTCCCAGAGCAGAAACTGAGCTCAGGTTTCTAATACTTTGGTTAATAAGCAACGACTGGAATTTGTTGCAGGGTGATGTTACACGAGCGCTCTCAGTGTACATGGCACTAAATGTTCATCAGACATTTGCAGCTCACCAGTGTGGGCAGAAGACATAAATCTCAGACTATCTTCATTGCTACTTCCTTCCAGGTGCCCATTTCCTCCCTCCTGCCAGCATCTCATCCCAATCCTATATTAGGAAGCATTTGAACCTTCTGAAAGAAAAGCAACGGGAAGAGCAGCATGGAATCTGGAATCCCTGCTACGCTGCGCACATCATACTTCTAACTAACTGCATTTCATAGAGCAACGTTACTCATTTTGGTCTGCCCTGGGACCACAAAAAGGTGTGACAACAAAGGGGAGGGATAATGAAGGACGTTGCCCCTCCTCCTTGCTGCAGTGTCCAGGGGCACTTCTTTCAGCCCTCAATGGCCCCCCAGATGAAGCACGTCCAACTGGAGAAGTGATGCTGACCCCTTGTAACTCACCACCTCCCAGTCTGTGCACTGCTTTGTGAGTAACCTGAGAGGAAAAATGATACAGTTTTGAAGTGTCCCCATCAGATCCGCTACAAGCATTGAAGTTGCCATTCCCATTCACCACACAGCACGATGTGCTTGGCCCTGAACACCAGGGCACAACACCAACCGAACGGAACTGGCTGCTCTCCAGCAGGGCCAGGAACTTTATGCTTCCAGAGCAGCATAAAGGAGGTCTGCTCTGCACCCGTAAACCAGTAGCTGGTGGGGCTCCCAGTCACGCTGAAAAGATGAGAAACATCCAAGATATGCTGGCATCTTCTACCAAGATGGAAACCCCTCATACACCTTCAGGAGAGCCCATGTTGACAGATGAGGAGAAATGAATAGGTTTCTGAGCTCACTCCAGGAGTTTGCAGCCCTGCCCTGGCCGGGTCAGGTACAGATCTGTGCGCTACAGACCAGAGCAGCTACAGCAGCACAGCGCAGAGCCCCCCAACTCTGCTCTTTCTGGGAATTAAATTATCCAAGCCACCAAAGCAAATATCAACTAATAAGCTTCATTCTAAAGAGACAAATTGATCCTTCTGCGTTATGAGTCTCTCTACAAACGTCCCATTTAGGGTTGCCTAGGCACACAGGCAATGGGCAGAAGCCCATTGATCAGAGCACCCTTTCATGTCTTGGCAGCTGTGGCGGGTTGTCAGGGTTAAAGACTGTTTGCCCAGGAATCTCAGGCACTCTTATCTCTGATCAGATTATATCTATTTCATTTCCCCTGTTAGTTACTGTATGGCTACAACTGACACGCTTGCAGAGCCCCAAGGCTGTAACTGATATCTGAATAAAGATACTTCAAGACTTCTAAATGGCAGTGTGCACAGGAAACAAATTTAGGAAATCCTGCTTTCTGTTACAGGAAATGAATCCTATGCCAACTGGTAGAAATTACCCTCGCTGTTAAAGTAAAGAGAATGCAAGTTTTTGTACTCATTTCATAAACTGACCTTCCCTGCCATGGTAATATTTTATTGATATAGGATTTCAAAGGCTGCCTTTAACCGGAGCCCAAAGTCATTCCCCTACAGGGAATGTTATTTAACAGCATCACTCTCTTCTCAAGGACTTGACTTGTGCTGATCCTGCATTTTGTACCATCTAGAGCGACATGCACAGAGGATGTCTAAACAATATTTGTATATCTAAGACCCACAGAAAAGATTTCTTCAGTGCAACAAAGCATATCTGATTGTAATTCTCCACTGAAGACATTTGGAGAAAGGAAAAATAGAAATACTGGAAGGATTAGTCATCATGCTATAGTAAAATAAACAAACAAACAATAATTCCTTTGGTATTTGAGACAAATTTCTGCATAAATATTTTAAAGACAGAATAACGCAATAAAAAAAAAAAAAAAATCACTGACATATATATACCATAGCATAAATGTAAATAAACTGAGGATCTGTGAGAAAGCAGCCAGCGAATGCTTTAGGAAAAAGAAACAAAAACCCTCAAATACAGAAATTACCATCTGGAAATCATTCAGATCTCATTTCAATCCAGAGGCAGTTGCTTTCTGTAAAGCTGCCTTCATGGGGGAGAGCAACACAGTAGAGGAGAAAAGCAGGTAAGCAAAACAGACCTGGACTGTGGGTGTGATGATCTCACCAGCTCCCAGGCCAGAGAGGGCCAAGCGTTTGTTGTTACAACAGGCACTTCAATGGAACAGGGGAAAGCAAAGATGCAGCTTTTGTATAATACAGACAAGATACACAACCTGAAATGAATGAACTGCCTGCCTGGGAAGAAAAAAAATCTACAGGGAACGTTTTGAATGGCACAAAATGTGGAAGCTCTATGCCAATCTTTCAATAATACCTGCACACACATTTCTGAAAAGTGGCAATTTGAGGACTTCAGCCAATACATTCCTTTATTTGCAAACAAGTTCTCATCGCTAACTATGAGGAAAGCTAGTTTCTCTTCTGATGCCAGAGGAGGAAAGCTTATTATCAGAGGCAAGACTGTTTGACAATAAATGGAAGGATCCATCAAATGGGTGATCTCAGTAGGATTCTTATGGAAAGTGTAAGACTTTAGCCTTCCAAAAGTACAGAGCATATATAATTATACGAATGAATAGAAAGCTTTTTTTAAACTGTGAGACATCAAAGAAGGTATGTCCACAAAGCACCAGTAAAAGGCTCAGCAACAAGCTGCAAAGTTTGCCTCCACTGCAGCACCACGCACAGCCCTGGTTGGACATGGGGCTGGAGGAAGATGGCACAGCACAGCCCAAAGGCTGTGAGCCTCTGGCTCACGTGGGCCATCCTGCAGAGCTGCCCCAGGTCCGTCTCACCCACACAGGAAGGGATGCCTCCTCAGACAAAAGGGCCACCCGGCACAACTTCCACCTTTGTCAGGGGAACCGAATTTATTACCTACAAAATACACCCCAGACGAAACACGAGTGTGGGAACACGAGCTGAACTCTACCAACTGACCTCATCGGGGCTGGAGGCCTGGTACACCCTGCACGAGTCCTCGTAGTGCCTTTCAGCTTCAGCCTGGTCCGTCACCCCGTTGGATTCGTACACCGGCGTCACGTTGTGGCACAGCGCAATCGCCTTCACCGCCTCGTGCACGCGGCTGCTCATGGTTTTACGCACCTTGGTGGCCAAGGCCAGGCCTTTCACAGCGGGCGGCTCCTGAGATTGCTTATGGGGAAGGAGAAGAGAGTCTCACTGCAGAGGAAACGACTCTGATTGAGACTTCACTCAGTGAAAACCACGTAATATGTAATCTGTGCAAACTCTCATGTCCCTCGGGACGAAACGTGCTCGTCGTGCACTGTGATTCTGATCACCGCTGGGAACACCGCGTAACTCGTTTATCTGTGTCATTGATGGAGGAAGGTATGCAGGACAAAATCACCTCTGCTGTTAGAAAACACATGAGAAAAGGGTGCACGGACACAGGTCTGCCCAGCACTGATGGGTGCCAGGCCAGGGTCACAGGACTTGGTGAAACCGCTGTGCCCCCACACATCAGTGCCTCGGCCGGGTTCCACGTGCAAGAGCACTGCTGGAAACAGAAAACAGATGGGTTGTATGGACCTAGAAAATCTTAATTGCATTCATTTAATTTTTAATACTATTTTTAGTACCAGAATGGGACTCGTCAGATAATTGCACAATTACTAAATTATCCTGATGGAAGAGGGGACACGCAGCAATTCAGTTTCCTGCTCTGTTAACCTTTAGTGTCAAGAGGACAAAAGCTTCGCTTCCAGGTCAAAGGCCACAACGTGGTAAAAATAAGAGCAAAGAATAAGGACTACATTTCCAAATGAATCGCTGCCTGCCAATGCTTCTCGTTACCGGGGATCTCACTTCACAGCCATAACTGCTAAGTGAGACACGTCCTTCAGTGCAATGCCAAGTGCTACTTCCCACACTGTAGTGATTACGACACGCAAGGTTTTCTGATTTACTACCCAGCTCATCAGCACTGTTGCGACAGGCTTCAACCAAACCAAACACAGTAAAGCCCTGAAGGTGCTGAAGGGCATTTGGACCGACGTGCAGCACTATCCTCATAGCAGGACAGGCAGCCATCAAAACATTCTTGATAAGTATTGAAAATGTTGGCAAATAATTAACTGATAGTCAAGTTTTCTCTGGAGATTGAGTATGAATTGATAGAACATAAATCTGGAGCCTGGGGTTTTTTTGTGTTTTGGTTGTTGTTTTTTTCAGGTTCTTTAAGTACAGTTCTGTGTTACTGCTTACTCAGTACTGATGGCTCCTCTTCCTATATTAATTCCCCAGTACACAGCATTTCAAACAGCAACTTAACCCAGTAAACATTACCTGGTGTTAATTTCCCAGTGAAGCAAATGCTGTGGTTTCTGTAAGCGGTGAATAACTAAATAAAAGTACCCTATTTTACAACCTGAACTCAGGACACAGCACATGCACTTGCAGGCCCATGCAAGTACTATGGCACTTGGAATCTAAAGAATAATGGATGAGAAACAAGCTATGAGTGAATGTAAAATGCAATCAGATTAATATTTATGTATTAGGTATCTAATCACCTTTTGATTTTTCCAAAAACTGACATACAAGAGGCAGATCCCTGTCAGATTAATTCATCATTAGTCTGGTAACCTGGAAAGCTGATATGAATAAAGAGTTAAGCAATCCAATTTAATTCTACCTGTGTGTATATACTGAATATGTGGCTCTGCACTTCGTCCATGGAGTCAAGGCCGTACGCCACTGTGCCCAGATGAAGTCGCTTGAAGACCATCTCATTCTGTGTAAGCGTTCCTGTAACAGAAGCAGCATCAACATGGAACGTGGACCAACATTCCTATTCTGCAAGGCATGATCTTGTCCTTGCTGTATCCCAAATACAAGAGAAACTGGTCCAGAACTTGGATTGACCACTGCACCAGGCTCTCAGCACAGGCTGAGGCTAAAGGTGACAATATTAGAAATCTCAGGGCAAATTCCCCTGGGAAGTTGTGGTGCACATTCCTGTACCAGTAAGTAAGAATGGGATCATTCACCCAAAAGTCAATGCCAGGATAAGGTGCAGGCATAGCTCTGGTCCTGCTGCAACCAAAAACAACTTCTGGGAACAACTGGAACAGCACCAGGATTTTATGTGGGACAAAGCTTTTGATTACAGCTTAGTCCTCTGAATCAGCCCAACTGTAAGCAGTGAGGAAGGCAGCGGGCAGACTGATGGCATGTTTCTGCCCATACACCTAGGCTACCTTCATCCAGCTGTAAAACCTAACTCTAAAAGTGCTTTTTACATTTACCTTCAACCTTGGGTTTAATAGCATTCTTCAGAAGCCAAACACCAACAACATGCCATAACTCAAAGCTGTATTTTCTACACAGATACCTGTTTTATCTGTAAGCAAGTAGGATATCCTCCCCAGCTGCTCAGGAATAGTGCTGGATCGAACCACGGTCCCAGGGATTTTGGAGTCTCTGCGGATCACCCAGCTGTAGACAATTTTTCCCATGTCCAGATTCACACGTAAACTATGGAGGAGCAAAGGGAGAAAAAGTGTATCTGAAGTAAAACTCTGGAAAAAAATCACTATGCATTGCCACAGTGTGATGAAAGCACAGGGCTTCTCTACTGCATTTGAGCAGCCAAAGAGAAGTATGTTCAAAATGAGTGGTTGGGCAGCAGATGGGGAGAACTGCACACTGCTGCACTGGTAATGTAATTCAAAAAGATATATGGCAGAACTACGTGGAGAAGAGCAGATGAATCTGTGAGGATGGTGAACGTAGACAAGTAAGGACACTGATTGATAAGGGGACAGCAGGTTAGAAATGGAACCGAAATGAATCCCAGGCCTACGCTGAGAATAACAATCTGCTTATTGATATGGTGCAATTAAATATGAAAATTTCAGTCCCTTTAAAGGCATTTGGGTCCTATGTTGTATAAATATCTCTCCTCTGCGTTTCCCTCTGTTCTTATCAGAGTAACCAGGCAGTCCAAACACAGAGGCAGTGACTTAAATCACTGACCTGCAGCCTACACCAGGGTGCTCAGACAGTGGGCAGATGAAAACACTGAAACTCAGCAGGAACAACAAAGCAACTCCTATATTCAAACAGCAATTCTATTTATATTCTATATATAGAATTTCTATTTCTAAATTTGTTCAGTTGTCAAACAAGGAATACGTAAGACTTTACGTGTCTGTTCACATTAGAAGCAGGGAGGAAGATGCAAAGGAAGCAGTATCTCACTGGGAAGAATTAGTAGTTGACTCACCTAATTGGAATGATGTTTGAGAACAGGAGGAGGAACCTTATGATCTGAAGATACCAACGGCCAGCAAAATGCTGAAGGGCCACCATGACAAGTGAGACCACCACCAGGGCCCCAAACAGGATCTTGGTGAGACAGTTCACTTCTAAATCAAAGAGACCAATCTAAAGAAATAAAATCAAGACATTTCCATCACACCATTGGAGCTGTCAGCTCAATTTAATATTCACAAAAGGAACGAGCCCCTGTATTCAAAGAGCCATTCCTCACCAGTCAATGTTTATTTTTCATTTAAAACGCTACAAACATATTTGAATTTATGAACAATATTGTTGCAATTATTAAGTTACTAAATACTAAATGAATACTAGATTACTAGATACTAAAACACTAGATTACTGAATAGGAGTCCCTACTAAATAGGATTTCCATCCTTTGGCAGCTGAGAAATGCATGAAGAGGTGAGAAAAGACTCATGCTGTCAAAAGCTGCAGACTGTATAAACACCCCCACTCCCTGCCTTAGCTTTGCTACAGCAGAACACAGCAAAATAAGCTTTCCCATTCTACCTGGGACTGTTTAATTATAACCATGTAAGTCATCAGCATTAGTTATGAAGCACCAGCAGTGTTAAAAAAGCAAGCAGGTACATGTACAACAGGCTCAAAGAAAAGAAAGATGGCAACAAGCTCTGATATGGTGGCTGTCTTAAACAGGAGGCTGAAAGATATAAATCCCTGTTCATCTGATGCTGTCCCTAAAGTCTGTCTTTGGATGGACCTATCTTTGTTTAGTGATAAATTACTGCCAAGTTTAGTTATTACAATATTGCTTTCTTGCCCTACCTTACTTCTTGGGTTTGAAGTGTTCATCACACTGCGCAGTTCCCTTCCAGTGTAGAGGACAACTCCCACAACAGTACCTAAACAAAGCAGAATATGCATCAGCCTAAGAAGTACAACCTCTGCTTGCCTTCTCTGAAAGATGCTCGCCAGATCCATAGCCTTCAGTTTTGAAAAGACTTTTAGCAGGTTAACTCCTAAAGCAATGGTAACAAGGACTAGGAAGGTGAGTTATCTGAAATGTAGAATCCATACAAACACAGATGCTGAACAGAAGACAGCCTACTAGGAGTCAGCAAGTCTCCACCACACTGCCCTTATGGCTGGACTCGCAGCATCATAAGCTGCTCCAGCTGAGGAGCATGCAGAGAGAAGCCGCGTGCTTTGTTGGCTTGTCTCTTCCTGACCCCCATCCCTTTTGAAGTTATTTGTTACTATGACTATAAATAAATAAAAACAGAGAAGGAGGAGGGATTGTTTGCTCCCACCACCCCAAATCCCACTTAGGGGTGCTAAACGTGCCTTACTTCAACACGGAATGGGTGCTCTGGGATATGATTGCTCCTTCTTGGTGAATTTTGCCACAATCAGAGTAAAACCAACAAATTCCAAATGCTTTAAAGACAGAATTAACTTATTTTAAAATCTGTGTCTTAGCTGAGTATTTCTTTAATTGCTGTTCCTCCTGGAAGGTGAATCATACCAACTCCCACCTTACTGCAACAGATGGAGCTGCTGGGAGCCCATGTATTTTAATGCTATGTCCTGCAGTTTCTAGAGATCTGAGAGAAGCATTTTTCTCCCTTTTTGCAGAAATATTGTACCAAACTGTGTTATAAATCCCTGGTTTTCTACAGCTTTCTCTTAAAGACTTTGCAAAAAGTAGCTGCAGTCACGAGTTTAAAAGCTGCTATTGCCAACGCTGGTTGCTACAAGAAAATTTTACAGGTCTATAAAAATGGATAAAAACACCACTGAGGGAAAAAAAAAGAAGAGTGCTGTTGCTGATACATTGCCATTTTATGCACCACTATTCTGCTGCTGCCACTAATGACCAAAATTTTAACAATTGCATTAAATTGAAAGTGTATTATTTCTAAATAAGATTAACTCAAAAGAGGCAGTTACTAAAAATGCTGAGAAACATTCCTTTGGAGATAATAATAAAAAAATTAAAAAGTAAAACACATCACTGTAGCCAGATGGCAGGAGGGGTAAGATCACCTCTATTAAATCAGCAGATGGCACAGCTACTCCAAATCAGCTGCGAACAGTCAGAGTCGGACCCTCCGACCACAGCAGCAGATGGAGAAAGTCACATAGCTCTGCTCCATCCTACAGGCAAGGGCTGCTGCCCCAGCGATGGCAGCACCACGACTTCACAGTGTTAGCTTACAGAAGAGGAAAAACGACATTCACGTTTTCTTCTTGCAGAAGCAAACTGCAACATGCTATTTATTACTGCCATCGGAGAAACAAAAATGGATGTTCTATCAGTCGAGTCAGTCAAACTGAGGGATAAAATCTACCAGGTCTGGAAAACAACTTGAAGACAAGCTGGTGCGTGTAAACAGAACATTTCTGATTGTTTTATGGCTATCCAAGACAGACTGTTGTACTCACCAGCTGGAATGGCAAAAATACCTGCAAATGATATTCTTTCTAGCTGAACTCTCAAAGGTATCTGTACAAATAGCTTTGCTCTTACTCAGGAAGGAGGGTGGGCTTTGCCCCAAAGCAGGATGGACTGAAGCAGTGCATTACACAGCCTGTGGGTGTTGGAAGCCGCCCGGCCCCAGGCAAGGTGTTTGCAAGCAGAAAGCAGGAAGGCAGAAACCTTCTGCATAGTAATTACTAATCTATAAATACTATTTACTTGGCCCAACTGTATGCAGATGACCAGGTTTTTAGCGCCCTTTGGTCACATTGCTGCAATAATACTGTAATATGTGTCAAAGAAGATCCTGAGCAGGGATAGATGGAAACATAAAGGAATAAAATCTATTCATATGTTCTGCTTTTAAAAGGGAAAATGAAAATCTCTCCAGTACTTCACAAAAATCTTTCAGAGTTCACGTTCCTTCCCATTATCACCAATCCCAGGCACACTGTGGTACTGCACTGCAAAGCCCCTCCTCTCTGCAGCTACAACCCCAGCACTTCTTACAGAACTTCACTCTCCTGCAGTGAGTGCTGTCCTGTAGTCCTGACAGGCATGCTAGGCAGGAGAGGAGCAAGGCTTTTACTTTGACAAGCCTCTGCAGGAGGGCACTGATTAATTTCAGGCCTCCAAGCTTATCGTACACATGCACTAAAATGTGTCAAAGATCGTATTTTTTTCCTCCTTTAAAATTACGTAAGATGAACTCAGTGGAAGCAGTTACCTGGAAATCTTTCATCTTAGCTTCTGTTACCAGAATCTATTTGACACCATTTCTGTTACAGATTAGGATGTCAATGCGAAGAGCAATTAAGTGCTATTCTGGTCCTAGATGCTAGAGAAGTGCCCAAAGGCCACTCCAGTTCTTTCTCATCTAGGAATGTCCAAGAGGCAATTAGCCACCAGTCCGGCTCCCCAGAGGTGTTAGGACAAGTGGGAAACCTCACTCCCACTGCTAATTTCTCCAACTGACAGATATTATTATTCTATCAGAAAAAGACCTTTAAAAATTGTTAACATATTCCCTTAAAAATAATTTACACGTGCCTCCACCTTACCTGATGCAATCACTGTGCTGGCCCACAGGGTGTTTTCTATGCTTAAGCTTTCATTCACAGAAGGGTCACTGTCCTCCTACAATGGGGGGAAAATAAGACACCGTGTCAGTAATTTAAAAGGCAATAGGCTGTTGGCGTTACACAGGGGTGCTTGGAGAGTGACGCTCTGTCAGCAGAGGGCTTCTAGGAGAGACGGAGGATTTTCATTAACCCAGCGAGATCTCTGCCTAGGTTGAAAAGCATCACTTGATTTCAGTACAGAAAGTAGAGTTGGACGAAAATGTATAAAGACAGACTTCCTCCTGAAAGCCTCTATGCATTAAAAAAGAGAAAGGGATTAGTGGGAAGCTCACCAGGAACCCCTGCTTTTTCACAGGCAAAGGGTTTTAACCCTACAGAGACTGCAGCGGTGCTGATTTCCTTCCGAGCACCATGCACACATAACTACCAACCTCAGTCCAAATGTTCAGACCTAATGCCAGCAGTGGAAGGTCCCACGTCACAAACAGCCCATGACACTGTTGCCAAGTCAAAGCTTCAAAAACAACATTCTTGTTTCAGATTTATTTCATGTATTTTACGGAGGGGAAAAAAAATAAGAAAAGAGAGTGAGAGAAAAGGCACGAGGAAGAGCATGACCTCACATTTCTCCTGAAAGAAGTCTGGCATCCTGCTGGTGTTCAGCAGGTTGGCACAGAAGACAATACATTTGTTATTTCGAGCAGATGTAAGTAGGACTTACCCTTGTGAAGGTTCCCACAAAATTGTGTATATCAATGTTGGGCTCTTCTGCATATACGTACGACCGGATTTGCAGCAGGTCCTAAACACAGATGTGTTTGGGGCATTTAGACAAGCACGTTTTAAGAATATACAAATGATTCTAACAAAACACTTCAAGTCATTTAAATCATACTATTTTCTTGAGCCCAACTACCTAACAGAAAATATAACCATTATACCAACATGTAGAAGGCATTTACCTGCTCGTATTCATTGGACTGAAACCAAAGAGACTCCTGGGAGTTACTTGGTTGTTAGTGCCCCATAAAAACAAATGCAGCCTGAAAAAAATTCAAGAGAGCCTAACAAACACATCGCTTCCTAGCAAAGAAGGTCTGGATCTTCCAAGGTAACCAAGGAACATCCTAACTCTCAACATTTAGCTTGAGATGCCAGTGGCACTGGGAGCAGTTCCATGGCGACAAGGAGATATGTCACTTCTGAACAGTGTTTCCAATGCTGACTCCAGGTGAACTATTCACTTCACAGATCGAATGTTTTGCTTCTAAGCTTTGGTATAAAATAATCTTCCTGCAACTATACAGACAACATCAATAAAACAGGTACCCAGATTTCTTTCTTTTCTTTTCTTTTTTTTTAATTTTTGAAGACAAACTACTTTAGCTAGAGAGCACCAGAGGAACCTACTTTAGCTAAAGAGCAGTTTAGCTGGGAAACAGCACATTTAGTGGAGGCTAAATGCTTGTTTCAGATCATACAGGGAAGCACCACTGGTCACTCCTCCTTTCACAAAGGTGAGCCATGAACTTCCAGAGCCGTTTCATGAAAATGCATGAGTTGTGTCTCTGAGCATACTGCAATCCAGGAGGAAAGGGAGCATTTCAGGTGTACCAGCAGCAAGGCACCTGTCCTGCAACAATACCTGTCCTGCGCTGAGTTACTGCAGTGGTCTCTGGAGGGGAGAGCAGCATTCCCCCATGAGCCATGTCCTGCTGCAGGGTCAGCACAGCCTTGCTGTGCAGCTCTGCCCGACAGCCACAGACACCCAGCCTCACCCTGCCCCAAATCTTCTCTTTGCTGCCAGACCGAACCTGCACTGCGCACCCGGTCCTGTGCAAAACAGTGTTCACTTGTTTCTCAAAGCCATTAACTGAAGCAGAGGAACATTTGCAGCTGGCTGACGGAAACCTCTCCCCCCCAAGTGAGTTTAGCAGGCAGCTTACAGAGGCGGTCGGCAGTCTCTGGGTGCAGGTAACCGGCAGCCGCAGTTTCCAGTCTGTCTCACCATCCAGCTGGTCAGTGCGAAGGAAGCAAGACCCTGGGGAGCATCCACAGCCATGAGTGCCCTCACGTAGGTACACCTACAGCTTACAGAATGGTTTTGTTTCTAGGACATCTTTCTTTCTTTGGAAACAGTATCTGATTTAAAGTAATACTTGTTAATACGGTAAGAATAGATGAATTATACTCCTGCACCACACATTTGTTTCCTCCCACCAGTTCAAAGTACAGTGAGATTCTGCTCTGTATCTTTAAGACATTTGAAATTAGTCATCATGCTCTGTAAACCTGCAGATCAAGCGTTTCCTTATTCCAGACTTAACAAAACAAACCTGACCAGCACGTAAAATGATTTACATTTACAATGCATGGCATTTTGTGACCTCATTCACCCTGGATTCAACTACCTACGTTCTTGGACTAGCAAACAAAGCCAGAGTGTAACATCCTGAGAACTGGTGGTCCCTGAAAGCCTTTGAATTCCCCATTTCTTCAAAATTTTACTATTATCTATTTCTTTCACGTTTTCAAAAGATAATTTTCTCTAAACAACCAGTGAAAGGTTAATGGCTATTTTGACAATTGGTTCCAGATGTTTACCATTCTTCTCCGACGTCCTCAGGAAGATCATGTCAGCAGGGACCCGCTGGTTCTGTTACAAGAAGAAAGGCCATTATTGTGCACACACCCCACACGCGTGCACAGCTCCTTCACAGCCCCGGCCACGAGCAAAGGCTACGGAGGAGAAAGAGCATTTCTTTGTCAAACTGAAGCTTGGTATTCATTTTGCTTGGAATCCTAAGCTCACTTCTCTGCAGAATCCCGAGTGCAGAATAACAACCGGAGCCAGCTCCCACTGACCAGACTGGCCAACGTCTAGCTTTACAAAAGAGCTAGTGATAATTCTGGAGGTCAGAAGAAATGTTAAACCACTGCCAGTTTCCTCTCAAGGAAGCTCTATGCTGGAGGAAGGCACGCACCTGGGGCCTACAGGTACCAGGGTTTGGGTATACTTCTTTTTTTTACTGAATATTTTCATACTAACAGTTTTAGAGGACACAGCTGCTTGCATGGAGAAAGTGTGAAGAAAATAACTGGAGGAAAAAAAAGGAGAAAACGTACATCCCAATGCCCACAAATGGATCTGTCCCTCCACCTTTGTGTTGCTTATACCAAACACATTTTGGTGTTGTATGCTGTATTTGTATCAGACATTTAACCTGTGTGCAGCAGTCAAAGATAGGGTCAGGGAGCCTTTTTGTCTTGCTACGGGGAGATCAGAAAACATTGCTTATAGGCTCTTATTCTGAGATCTGGTTTGTAAAGGCAGTGATGCTATTTCCAGGGCCAGGGGGAAAAAGGGAGACCCTGGAAAGTAATTAAATACTGTGTTATCCAACACTCAATACTGTAAGCCTATCATAAATCAAATACCTCAGTTTCCAAGAAAAGCACTTTACAAAGAAGACGCACATAAAGGCTCACCTTTTCAACAATGATGAGGTCTCCTACTTGTATGTTAGAGCTCTTCACCTTCACAGTCCCTGCAGAGGGAAGACAGCAGTGTCACAGCCCCGTGCAGCAGGGCAGGGCTGCTGCCCATCACCCCAGTGACAGCTCTGACACCAGAGCCATTACAGTCGGGAAAACACTTTCAGTACGTGCCAGGCAATGGTGCAAAACCAGGAAAACTGCAACACTGATCCATTTGCTGCTTCCCCAGGTGGCTGAAAAGCCAAAGCTCAGCTCCCCAAGCCAGGACCTGAAAGCCACAACTAAAATGGGCACGCGTTCAAAAGCAGGCTCGTTCCATCCTGCAGCACAGCGCTGTCTCTGGTCACCTCAGCTTCCTCTCCTTCACCTCCGCAGGGACACAGCCCAAACCACCCCTGCAGAGAGCAGGCGCTACCGAACACATCTGTGTACTCCTTTCTTTGCAGTTGCTCCAAACAGAGGGTTAATTTAACAACTGGCTAGTAATTTCAGATCGCTAGCCAGCTCCTGATCTGCCTTCTCAAACTAACTAGCGATTTAAAAATCCATTAAATTGAACCTTGCCTCTCTGTGTCTGTTTTACTTCAACAAAAGCCTCTGTAAGGTGCTGTGATTTGGGTAGAAGTGGGGAAGGCACGTGGCAGCTCGCCCTGGCACAGACAGCACTCCTCCTGTACCTCCACATTCAGGGCTAACTGGCCAGATAGCAGTGCAGGGGTGAAGGAGAAGGGGGAGGGGAGGGGGAGCAGAAATTAGCACAAAGCACAAAGGTCACTGGGATTTTACTACTGGCAGTCCCTTCATTAGCATCCTTCTCAGGATATGCTTCAGTGTTTCTGCTCCAAATTAACAATGAAAGCCTTTCTGGGCTCCTGGCAGCCTGCTGCTTTGGTGACACACTGTGTGCTTAACAACATGCTTCATCACTGCTGCTAATAAATGCAGACTTCCTTGCATGCTGTAATTATTCCTACAAATTATAAGCAGTCATGGCCCATTTCACAAATATCTCATAGGTCTTCGGCAGATTCTGGGTTTTGCCACGGGGGAGATTTATATTTTGGGTTGTTTGTTTGTTTTAAAAAAAGGTAAACAAAATGAATGCTGGGCTAAAAACATCCCTGCCAGGCAGGAAAAGCACCAGGGATTAAGAGTCCATTACCCTGTGCTCCAAGAGGATGCAAAAAAGCATCCTTGGCAGCCTTCTGCCCGGCCATCCAAAGCTAGGTGCTCTGACAGATAACATCTCTTCCTCCCCTTTTAGGACGGTTATTCATGGAACAACAAAAAGCGCTTTGGAATATTCCTCTGTGCAAAGAAGGTTAGAATCCCACACAGCACAGCACAGCAACCCCTGTGCAGCACAGCCCACGGGAGGAGAGGTGCCCTGCTTTGACCCTACGGGGGACTCCCTCCTAAAGATCGCACGGATGCTGTTGGTGGTTGGCAGTATAGAAATGCTTCCTGCAGGGCTCGGGGATGGAAGTTTGGTTTTGTATCACTTTTCCTTAATGAAATAAAGTTGTGCTGGAAGAAAAAAAAAATGCTCTGGCAAAGCTACAACACAATTGTTTCATATCATTACGCGCATTAAAGGGCTTTTTGCATCACTACTCTGAAAACAGCAATACCTGCTCCAAAATGTTTTCTAAAAAGCAACTGGAACACATTTGCCTTGCTCAATAAGCCTCCCGACATCAGCTGTTTTAAAGCAAAAGGAGCTCTGTAAGCACTGCATGCTTTCACAACTCCTGTATACATATGCGAGATGCCCTTTTTAGGTAGCAGAGCCAATTCTGCTCCCCAGCTTAGCCCCGGCCTCTCGTGGATGACATCCCTGCAGTCTGCACCATATGTCCCACCACGAAGGCACAGGACCAGATGTTTCCTTTGACTCAGGACTCCCATAAAGCAACTTACTCAAATCGGTTTTATTTTGATCTTGGGAATTCTGCAATACCTCTCTCCTTCTGTGGGGAAACGAGCTCCTACACGTTAGATGCTTTCTCACACATTTGAGAAACTAGCTAATAACACAACAGCTTCATTTCCCAACGTTGCTTTGTTATTAAAGTATGCCTGTAATAAGAAATAGCTGCTTTTATAAAGGCACTCAGAAGGGCTTTCTAGGAACACCCAGGTCTGTTAGCACAATCACAGAAAAGCAGCTAGTTCTGATCTCTTCTGGTAAGGAAAAAAAATGTGATTCTTGTTTCATTCTGAATTGTTTGGTTTTGATAAAAGCCAGAAAGGAGATCTTATAATGCAAGCACTTTGCTGCAACTTTATCTATGGCCTTTGGAATCATCACCAAATTTGCAGTGTGAGGATATACCACAAAGCAGATTATTTAAAGTATTCAGCCAGGAGAAATGCCTTTTTCTGTCACACGAGCACTTAAGATCTCACCATAGATGTGCACAGCTAAGGCAGAGTTCAAAATAGTTCATCTGGCATTGAAGATTACAGAGCAGTTTATTGAAACAAGTTGAATGCATGCCAAGAAATGAAAGGTTGTTCGGATGCACTGCACCCAACTTTGGGCTTCTGTGGCTTTTATGCTGTATAAACTGCAGAGCGGGGCTCAGAGGGGTTGGGAAAATATTGTTTTTGTATGGCTGGTAAACGCCAATGATCTGTATCTTTAGGAGCACCCCTCGGTAGGAGGTCTCCTCCCATTCCTTTCTGTGGAGTCTCTCTCTGTTATACAGTGTTACCCAGGGAGGGCAAGAGAGAGAGAGAAGAAAAACAAACCAAGAATTTGTGAGCACGGTTCTAAGCTTTCTATCATGCAGAAAGTCAGCACACAGCCTTCTGAACACAAGGAGGTTTGTAGGTTTATGAATAGGGGATTGAAATTTGATTATTTTTTATTACAATCCAAACAACTGTCTTTTAAAGGAAGAGCTTTCTATTAAAAAAAAAAAAAAAAAAAAAAAAAGCTACAAGCCACTGGTTCATCATTTTGGAACGTAAACAGATCGTAATGGTGGAGGAGAAAAAAGGTTCAGAGCGATTTGTCTTATGATGTTAAAACAACACAGAAAATACCTGCCTGCCCTGCATCACACTGCCCTCCAAGAACACTACAGACACTGCAATTCAGCAACCGTGTTCAAAATAAAACGTGATCCAAAGAGGATTCTCATCTTCTCTCTACAAAGAAAGCAGCTTGGCAAGGCTTACAAAGGTGAGCAACCCCAGCACCCGACAAACTCTGCACACAGGAGCAGGGCTGGGCTGCACGGGGACTGGAGCCCTCATATCTGTGCTCACTGCACCCTCACTCAGAACAGCACAAGAGCAGTTTTGTTGATTGATTCTTCAGTATGTTTATGCACATCTGTGCTTCAGTCACCCTGACTTCATTTACACCAGAGAACGTACTCTCAGCCTTGATGTTGCTGTGGGGGAGTAAGGCTGAAGATGGGAAAACTATTCTCCAGTCACCTTAATGGCATCTTAGTGCAATTACTCGGGGGAAATAAAAATAGCTCGGAGAAAGCTACAGAGCCATTAGATCCATTATTGCCAATCTCCCAGAGCAGCAGTGCTCAGCATCATGCCTCACCTAATCTCCCCCTCCTAAGCACTGGCTTTAGCGGTGGAACTATTGTCAGCCTTCAACCAGCCAGCAACAATCCAGAGGGCTTTTGAGCAGCGCCCCTCTGCACCGCAGGGCTGTGCCAGTATCCCGAAGCACAAACTGTGCTGCGAAACAAGAACAAAACAAGTCCTACCCGGAGTTTCCCAGCCGCACTGAAAATTAACGGTTACGTTCAGCTGCTCTCAACTTAACTCCAACTTTGCCATTTGCTGCTTTTACCTCTGACCTAAAGAAGCTCCTGCTGGAAAGTTAGCCACCTTTTCCTGCTGCTCACAGACACATGCACTCAGAAAGCCACCATCGACCCCCAGCCATGCTGGCATCACACACTGCTGCTGCGGTCAGAAATGCCTCTCAGCTGTGGTGGCCTTTTCAAAAGTGGATGTTCACATCCTCTGAAAGGCTCGACTACTGACAGACTCTGAACTTCGCACGAGACAGAAAATGGCTTTGCTCCCCCACCAACTTGATAATCACAAATAATTCTCTGTGCTTTTTCTGCTCTCACCTACGCTGCTCGAGGGTTTCATTGCTGATTCTACACCAACCGTGTGCTAATAACAAACAAAGTGGCTTAGGATTTCCAACCACTGCCCAGCTGCCAATCCTCCTTGGGTTCTTTCACAAAATTAGAGAAGTTAAAGGATTGGGGGAAGGGAAATCATTCATGGGAAACGTAATAGCAATATGAAAAGAACTGAAGGAGAGGTCAGGCCCCTTATAGATCACTGAATAGAATCCAGAAGGCAACTCTTTTATATTTTTAAATAGATGTAGTATACCCCTCTCGGGTGAGGCTTTTGTTGGTTGCCAAGCATTTTAAGTGTTGTAGTAAGAACATGTTATTAAAAGAGGATTTAATATTCAGAAACTCAGATTCCCCAGTTTGGAGATGTCTCATAATTCCCAGCATGTGAAACATACACAGCCCTAAGCAATCACTTTTTAAAAAGCAAGCTTTTTAAAAGTGTAGAAGCGCAATTGTTGGAAGCTGTGCACTTCTAACACACCTCGTGCACTGCATCTTATTTCAGGGCTGTAAACTTTTATAGCAAAGACACTTGAAAATAATAAAAGTTGCTTAAATTCAGCTAATTCCCTTCTTAAAAACAAAGCCATGGCGTCACCAACACTGTCACAGTATTAGCAGCCACTGTAGCAAGGCAGCATTCAATGTTTCAAATGAGACTTTAAATGCCTTTGTTATGTGTGACAGAGTCGTAAACAAGAGGCAGAGGCAGCAAGCAGCACCAGAGCTGCAGCCTGCGCTCATGGAAGTGAGGGCTCTGCATTCCTCACTGCTGGAAGAAGGGGCTAAAGAAGATGCAAACAAAAATAAGAGAAGATATTATCAATACTGAGGAACTGCATCTGTCACTGCTTACAGAAACATATAGAAGGTGTGGTAAAAAGCTTGCATGATGCATGTCACAGAAGAACTATGAAACTCAACCAGTATTGCATTTCAACAAGGGATGGAGTGTGTCAGTACGTCAAGCAATTCGCCTGAAACGGAACATGTGCACATCCAAGCTCCATCAGGACAGAGTGCTTGCACTGAACTCTGGTTTGCAGTAGGCATGCTGGAAGGGTTCCCAGATCTGGGCACGGCCACACGGCCCACCTCCACCCTCACACGTTGAATCTCCTTTTGCAGAAAGGACAGTTTTCTGACAGTTTCACAGACTGAGGTTTGATTTCTTGGTAAAATGCTTGTGCAAATAATCTGACACTGTGGATCCTCCTCACTTCCCTTGGCACACAGTTGTTGTTGCCATCAAGGAATATGAACTGCAAGTTTATAGGAATTGTTTGCATATCTGCTTCTCTCACCCACACTGTGACCAAGCAAGAAGTGCAGGCAGGAAGGACAGGAGAAAATGAGGAGAACAGCAGCAACACAAAGAGCACGCATCTGTTACAGCCCGCTTCATCCTACTGTGTGCTTGCAGTGTTTGCCTCCCTCCTCTCATTCCTGCACCGCTTCTCTCTGCAGAAAGGAAAACATGTTTCCCTCCCGGGAAAAGCCACCTCTGAACCCCAAGGTGATTCGCATCCGATTTCATTTCCTTTGCTTACTCAAATCTACCAAGAAGGAACAGTAACCTGGAGAAAAGGTTTGGCCCATGCCAGAATTGAGAACATTGAGAGTATGCAGCTTCCATCAGCTGCATGGAACCCAATGGAAGCAGCTGCAGGCTGCACGGTGAGCCCCAGGGCAGCTCCTGCAGGCAGCCAAGCAGTGCCTGGGCCGTGCAGCTCCCAGCACAGCTCCACACAGCCCACCCAGCACTCACCTCTCCCCGTAAGCTTGCTGTAGATCTGTGAGTTCACCTCCTTGTCGCGCATGTAACACCTGATCTCCTCTGCAGCCTCTCGGATGACGGTAACAGCGAGCACAAATCCCTGAAAGGGAACAGGGCAAAGAGTGGATGGAAAGGCAGCAGAAAAGGCATCTGCCTCTAACAGGCGCCGTGCAAAGTATTCATCAGTAGTGATGCCATCCATTAACTGAGAATGAAGGTTCCTGCCACAAATAAAAGCAACGTTTCTGGCACATGGAGAATGATGAGGATCACCTGTACAGGTCAGACTTTACAACACGCCTGTCTGATTCCCTTAACTAAAATTGTACATGCAGAGTCCCAAGGAAAGGCTATTTATTTTTATTTTTTTTAATGCATTCAATGCTGCTTTTGCAAATGCTGAAACTGGGAAGCCATCAGGTAACCTTTTCAGAGAAGCATTGCACCCCACAGTGCTGTTTTGCACCACCACGGAAGTTTTCATTCCGGTAACCAACAAATTGAGAAAGCAGTGAACATTTCTCTCCTATGTGCAATCTGCATCTGTGTGCTTAGCTAGAAAGTCCTACCTGCTTCTCAAAAAGGGAAAAGAAAAAAAAAAAAAAAGCATTGGAATTTTCAGCTTATGTTTTAGCTGCTTGAAGAGTCTTCAAATAATGACCTCAAAATATTCCCACATGTGCAGTCTCACCATGCCATCACACAGGTCATCCTATCCCCAGCCCTGGGACTAGCAGCCAGTGGTGAACAAAGACCTTTCTTATGCTGTTTTCTGGCCACTCCTGAGCCAAACCCCAGTTGCTCACCTGGCACAGACAAGCCACAACTGCCTGTACAAAACCAGAAAGGGAGTTCCTGTGTACTTACAGAACAGGATCTGGTGAAATTCTTGTTGGATTCGCACTGCAAACGGAATTAAAAGTACTAATTTGAGAGAGAGAGCAGTGCGATCCAGGCATTGACACGAACAGAGCCTTGGCAGCTGTGTCCTCAAGTTGCACTTTTACTTCTTTTGGATTTACGCCAAGGATTTCACTGGAAGCCTGAAAGGCAGGAAAAATTCCCTCTGCCCCTCCTCAGCCCAGCCTCTCTTAATAGAGCCATGGACTTTCTATCACAACCATTTCACAAAACAGCAAACAAACAGCGCCTGAGAGCACTGTGCTGCCATAATCAAACCTCAGTTGATTTTTTTTTAAATGCTTCTTTAAAGCAAAAAGGATTTATTTCTAAGCTCAAAATTTTCAAAGCTCAGGAAGGTGAGTGAACCCAACCTGAGTTGGTTTCTGCTCGGAGCAGCAGTCGGATCAGAGACCCTTCTGAATCAAAGCTATCCTGCAACACTATAGGCTGAAGTGCAGCAGGAAAGATATTTGCATAAAGAGAGAAATAACAGTTGTACTTGGATAAAAGCTGGGGAAAAAGTACAGCTACCTACATGAAAGCATTTGCCAGTTTTGGCTGGTTCATGCAGTGCAGTTCAGAGATCTAACAGCCCCACACAGCTATTCTTCATTACATCCTTTGACAGCATATGAGTTTCTGCTTCAAAACTGATTATTATTGATTTCCTTTGATCAGATGAAACATGTGGCTATCAAAAGAAAAGGGCAAACGTTTAGAGGAAGGAAAGAGTATCTGCACCTTGAACAGGTACGAGGCTACACAAGTTTGTCTCTCTATATTTATATATATGGTTTTTATATTAAAAAATGGCAGTTATTTTACACGCAGGGCTGTTTCTCAGGTTTCTCTCATTTGTTTTTCACAATGTGGTTAAACCATGAATCAGTCTGTTGACCTACGCCTAAACTGCAGGTCAAACTGTTTGGCAGGAGAGCATAATTTGCCTCCGTTGCGCATATGGCCACTCTTTAAGGTCACTTCAGAGAGGTGCCCTTTGGTCCCTCGCTGCAGTAACCAGGCTGGTCTGGCCTTGCAGTGCTTGGGCTCCTTGGGAGGGCCAGATGCCCTCACAGACCCTCCACCAGCACACCCTGCCTTCGGAGAAGCTGTGAGCAACACACAAATCAGCAGGGCAATGTATTTATTCTGGTCCCCACTTACTTCACCACTTTATACACAAAGTCCTGATGCCTCTGCAGTCACCACGTGCAGTGCTTGAGAGCTCTGTCTCTGCTGGCATCCCACTGATGAACAAGGTAGAGGCAGAGACCTCTCACACCCCAGGGGCAGCTGTATAAAACAGAGCCCAAAGCCAGAGCAGCTATCTATGTGACATGTACAGAGCAGAGCCTGAAACAGCCAGCTAAATAAATGATTTAAGGTACAAACTTACAGCCTGGAGAAAGGGCAGCAAAAGAAATTGTGTCAAGAAATGAAAGTTTCTTAAGTAAACAAACCTCAAATCACCTACCAGAGGAACCCAGTATGTGTAGAGCGCACCAAGCCTCATTTCAACAACAAATTGAGAGCAGGCCAAGAGCAAGAAGTAAAGGTTGAAGAAGTATTTGAACTGGTTAAATAACACCTAGCAAAAACACAAAAAAAGAGAAAAGAGGTCAATAACAGAGCTTGGAAGTCATACAGGTTGCACTAATGCTCTGAAACATTTCTGCTCATACATACATGGCCACTTAGGGTAGTCTTAAAGTATTCCTGGAAACTCTTTTCTAAAGATCAACCTACTCTTCCTGGCTGATGGTATCCTGGTTGGATAACACTGCCACGCAGCCAGGCCCGAGTATTAACACAAATAAGTCGTTTTGTTTTGGTTTTAAACTTCTGACTATCTTCACTCTGCAAAGAGACACTCATAGCAAACAGCAACATCATTAGCTACAGGATTTGGTTTGCAAAAAATCACACCATCAGAAGAAGCCAATGAACTCAGAAAGCTTGGCTCAACCAGAGACCACTTTCTGACTTTAAAAGTGGGCAGAATTGGACTTGTTTCTGCCGCTGCTACCAGAAGTGTCGGATGGATGATCCAGCTGCTCCAGCAGGGATGATGGAGCTGCTCCAGCAAGGAGCTGCTGCCCATCCACACAGCAGGCTGCTCCCCCAGCAGCTCCAGCAGGTGAGAGGCACCATTTCCCCCCTCGCCCCTGAAATGCGGAGCTGTTCTGCTGAGGCGCAAACACCAACCAGATGGCACTCATTTGCTTCTGTGCTCACCTACCGTAACAGCGCTGGAACTGGGCACAGCGTTGGGTAGGATGACAGGAAGCGCCTTTCCTCACACTTACCCCAGGGAGAAACGTAAAAAAGTTGTATTTCTGGTTGTTGATAACATTGCGGGGGTATCTCTGGTCTCTCTTCTCTGGATGGCCAAGCCAAACCGTACGAGGCCTTGGGTCTCTTCTCCCACAGCATCGTAAGCACTCACAGCACCTACGAGAGGAACATCTGATTTTAAATAAGAAGTTACTCTTTAACCATGATTCTCACACACACCCCAGGCCCTCTGCACCTGCCAGGACAAACAGCCTAGGATCCTCCATCAGCCACCTCTCATCTGCTACTGTTTTCCACCACATTAAACCACCTGTAAACCAGGAGCTCTCCTCCTCACCAACCAGCAGGTCAGATCTACAAACTTACCTTTGTCTTACTAACAAAACTCAAGAGAGAGAAATCTTTCTCCCACCCATGACTGTGTACAATACCCACATCACAAAAGCTGTTTGCAACATGAAGCAAACAGTATGGTGGTGTGAGACACTCAAATTCACAAACTTTACATACATTTTATTTCATTATATTTTTATATTTTATATATTATATATTTTATTAAGTTGGTATCTTTTAATTGGGAGTTCTCTTTTTCCTTTGCAGATGAAGAACTAAGATAAATAGTCATTTTACCAGTTACTTGCCTCTCAAATAAGTTTGAAAGGATAACAGATGAAACAGTGATGTTCAGATTGAATAAAAAAATAAAACGGTCTATAGAAAAAAAAAAATCCCTTTTTTCTGTAATGTAGGAAATAACACAAGATTAGCCTACATCTCATGTTTTAACTACAGTGAACTCAGAATGATAGAAATCCAAACAAGAGGCTTTGCCCACAGGAACAAGGCTGGTATTCACAGCTTCATTTGGACGTGCTTCCAGCTATGGTGGGAACCACTCAGCCCTTCCAGCCATCTGAAACCAGTTACCTTTGTTTATTCTGTAGGCTGGGCCTCTCTTAGGGATCCTAGTCATCAGCAACAGGAGCTAGGTACCTACATCCAAATATTTACAATAGGACGAAGCTTGAACAGCCTACTACTGTCGTTTAACAGATATTTTACTTGGGCTGGTAGTTTTTACAGTGTGATTTTCACCAGTGTGCTCCAGAGAAATTTCCAGCCATCTGGGCAGATTGTCAAGCCAATATCTAAACCTCCAGAGCAGACTTCCAGTCACGTTAAGTTCAGTAACTTACAGAATATTTAGTCTAGAATGTGCATGAAAACAGTGAAAGAACCCGCCCAGGTAAGCAGGACATTCCACCTTCAGGGCAGTGTGCTCCACCCGGCTGTTCACACCATTACAGTGCTGTCAACCTAGAAGGAAGTTAACAGCTAGCACTGCAAAACCCTTACAACTGCTCCTTCCTGAAGGGCGCTGCAAGCTCCAGTACTGACAGCAACTCTGAAGGGAGGGAAGTGCAACGTAACTGCTCAAAAGCGAAACGACCCGAATTTTCACATGTGTTCTGCAATGGAAGCCACAACCGCCTTGAGCATTCCCACCACACAGACACTCGGTGCTGTAGGAATTTTAATGTACAAATGATGTGTTACTATAAGGCTTGAGAATGCACCTAAAAATACCAGTTCTAAGTACAGACACAAAGGCCATGGAAAGATCTGCCATGAAAAGTCACAGGTTTGTGAAATTCCTGCCCTGCCACACTCACAGCTTTCGCAATGTCCTGAATTACAGGGAAAGCAAACCTAAGACCTCATCAGACAAACAAAGGAAAAACTTCCTGCTCAGCAAGTTTTCAAAGGCAAGTACCAGAAGTATCAACGTTTGAATTAAGAATACCCAGCATTTCTCCTACAAAGTCTCCTACACAGCCTTTCAATACATGGCTTCTAAGCAACATAAAGGCATTTGTCAGAAAGAAAACAAAACAACTTTCAACCAGTGAAATAATACCAACAATACTACAACCAGCAATGACCAAGCTGTGTGCTGTGACAGCATTCAGCTGCAGAGCCAGGAATCCCACCAGGCACCGCCCCACTGCTCTGAGCTGGAAAGCATGCAGGGCAATGAAGGCTGATCTTTATCTCACATATGTCCAGGGAAATCCCCAAAGAGAATGTTTTTAATTCTTACTTTTCTAAACCAAAGCACGTCCCCAGGATGGCATTTAACCCTCTCTTTTTCCCCAATCTTGTTCCCCTTCTGTCCCGCAGACTGCCCGCACTGCTGCGCCTTGCTGGGCATGCAAAGCAGTGCGGCAGCATGTCAGAGGCAACAGTTATTCCTGCACACCAATAGTGCCAGGGAATGCATGGCCTGGCACATTGCTAGCAACAGAGCTGCTGGTAGGAACACAGACATCCCTTAAGCACAGAATGACCACAGAATCCTAGAATCACCAAGGCTGGAAAAGACCTACAAGTTCATCCACTCCAACCATCCAGCTGTCACCAATAATTCTCACTAAACCACGTCCTTCAACACAACATCTAAATGTTCCTTGAACATCTCCATGGTTGGTGACTCCGCCACCTCCCTGGGCAGCCCACTGCAGCGCCTGACCACTCTTTCAGATGTTTTCCCCAGAAAAGAAAAAAAAAAAAAATATCAAGTCTCATTGTACTTATTTCAACTCTGATGCTGTCATTAATGAGGAATGCATACCTAAGCCCACAAGTTCTGTTTGAAAACCCTTTGTATGCCATCCTCAGTCCTTACAGGGTGCCTTACGCAAACAGGAGCGGCTGCAGCAGCACTCAGTGCTTCCACAGACCAATGGCACATCCCACAAACCGCCCAGGGTCACGTGCAGGCAGGATGACTTCACTACCTGACTCCTTCTGTATTACACTGCCAACGTTGCAAGCTGAGTAAACGCCACTTGTTACCTCCCATGTGCACCCCAGAGGCATGGAGTGCTTGCACAGAGCAGGGACAGCCATGTCTGTGTGCACCCTCCTGCGCTGCAGTGCTACGTGTCAGACTTGGGACACCCATGTGCAAGGATGGCAAACTTTTACAAACATGAAAATGTTTACAAAGACAGCTTAAACGAAGAAGTTCCCCTTGTGTTACGTTATTCACATTCTAAATCACAGTTTGACAAACAAAAAAAACCCAGACTCAGAAATCACCCTAAAGGACAATCGCTCAGGAGCATCTCTTCTGAAATAAACTGCCTCCCAAACTCCAAGTCCTATAGGCAGTGTAGCTCTTCACCTGCACTGGGAGCTAAATGAACAGGAGCTGCTGAAGGTCACGGGGGCTCACTGTGCAATCACAGGGAGCACTACAGAAATGCACTCTCAGCAATGATGCAAGCAGCAGTAATACAACAACTGACTGTCAGATGTGTGATGAACAGCCATCACCAAGCAGCATGTTGGACAGAGAAACATTTTAGAGAGAAAATGAAAAAAAAGCTTATGAATGCACAACAAAACTAATGGAAAAGTGCCACATTTTCCTAAAACTGGAGTAGATTTAGTCCAATCAGTGCTGAAGCACATCATATATTTAATCATTCCTCCAACAGTCCCATTTCTCAGATGACATTTCCATGTTTCTCACAGGTGACACTGTTAAGCATCTGCAACCTACAAACCAGCCTCCTGCATATCAGAATTTTAAATGCATATAAACAGTTTCCTACTGATATTAAAAGCAAATGAACCAAGCCAAGCCAGGCAGGCACACTGCCCAGCTCTGCCAGCACCCCAGCCCAGCCCTGCACACCCACCTGCAGGCGGCCAGGAGCTCCCATCTCCCTCTGCTGACTTTGAAATGGAATTTGCCATTTTAAGCAGACCCATAGAGCACAAACACGGACTGTAAAGCTCCTCCTCCCCAGTCTCATTCCCTGTTCTCCCTCCCGCATTCCTGGATCAAGGCCTCTTCACATTGCAGAGGCATGGTGAGCACAGCAGCTCGCTGGGTTCAAAAAAAGCCTTGCAGGATTGCAAACTGAGACCATAAGCTATTTAGGGAAAAACTTCTGCTGTGCACTGAAAGGAGTGCCTGGAGGGCTTCGGGAGCTTGCAGCTCACTCCCATCAGTGCTCACCCCGGGAAGCTCCCATGCCACACCGCCATCCTCCACCACTTTGTGCCATCCTCCCTTCCCAACTGGCACACATCTGAGTGGTCCTCAGAGTGCTGCAAGGCCATTGGGAAACGTGGCTGAATTCATGGAGTACAGCTGCAAAGCACAGAGAGCACACGCTCTCTGACAACAGCCAGGAAGGCCCACATGAAAGTTATGCTCCGGAACAGATAACCACTACTCCCATTGGTTTATTAAGCACATGCTTTCTCTCACTAACACAGATCTCAGCTGTCTGGACCATTATTCATCTCTGCAAAGCTACTGTACAAGTTCCTCCCTGGCTGCTCTTCAAAGCACACTACAAGCTAAGGCTGTAATCAAAGCAGCATTGAGATGACACCTGTCCTTTGCTGCTTGTATGAGAATTAGGTATGAGAATTGGGCATTTATTCCTTTTTTATTTTTTTCTATGAAGTCATTCAGTCCATGAAATTAAATCTATTTCTCACTCCAGAAGACACCAAGCCAGCAAAATCTGTCTAAGAACTTGCCCCCACTGGGGAAAAAGGCAGACATGCTAGAAACTGCAGTCAGTCTATGTTAAAATGAAGCCTTTCACAGCTTGGTTACCAGCAGATTTTCACATGTATAAACAAAGATGACTTGTGAGTGCCTTTGTTTGTGTTTTTCTCAGAGGAAACAGGAGGAAGGTCCTGATGACAGCGCAGGGCTCCCCAGACTCCATCCCAGACCTGACCCCAGGACCTGCCCTGGCCTGCTGACTGACTCCTCCTGCAGTTGCTCATAATACTTTGGATTCCTCCACCTCAGTGCTTTGCTACCCACACCATCATTTGATTGAATTACAGCCTAATAATCAGACAAACAAGACATAAGCTCCCAGGAAGCAATCAAATACCCAAACAGAAAACCTAAAGCCAAGTTATTCAGACTGCCATTAAGAAAAACCCCACGTAATCTTCCTTCAGAACTTCAGGCTGCCAGCATTTCTTGATGGCACAGAAGCAGCTTCTGCGTGTCTGCTGACACCAGCTGAGGTCTGATGCCACTGAGCTGCAGCTTGGGTTAGGTGGAGGTTATTACTGCCAGCCACTACCAACCACTTCATAGTAGAGATGTGCCAGAGATCAGAGCATTTTCTGACCAAAAAAAAAGATTCAAGAAGCTTTGAGAAATTTCTCTGGCTGCTGCTGCCTCCTCTCTCTGAGCCTTTTCAATCACATCACTGAATTCAATGCCATGGTGGCTGCACCCCGTGGAACCTGTCCAGCAGCGCATGTCATGCAGGGGCTGGGAGTTCTGTGCTGCATCACACGCACCTTCCTGCTCAGCCTTAACTGCCACAGACACTGCTACATCAGCTCACAGAAACTGTGCTGATGTTTAGTATTCATTATACTGCTCCCTATTAAGTACAATAACTTCAATTAGAGGAACCTGAATGAAGGCCATCAACCCAAACCATAACAAACAATGGGAAAATAACAATTTCCTCTCGTTCTAGCAGGCATTATTTCCTTCGAGGCTTTGCTTTCTTTTGCTAGCATCACTCACCGCGCCTACAAACACATCCAATGCAGAGCCAAGTTCTGCACGGCAACCTGACAGCCGGGTAACCCGGGTGCCCCGCGCGCACCAAGCCGTCTGCAGGCAGTGCCATTTCCCACCGAAATTCGTTCTTACTCAGCTTCCTGTCTGGAAGCACCGGCAGAACACATCCACTGCAACATCCAGCATAAGGATATTGTATTGCTTTCGCTGATACAGTTACAGAGCGTTCAGCCGGAGACCTTCGGCACAGCCCCGCACACCGTTCCCAGGCAGAGCCGCTCCCACGGACCATCCCGCAGCTCCCGGCTCTCACACGGCTGTTCCGGCAGCGCTGCTCCGTGCCCGCCGACCCCCAGCGGTGGGTTCGTGGGTTCGATAATCGCAGGCCCCGTTCTGCCCCAGCCCCGGCTCCGCAGGGCCGCCCGGCAGGATCCTTCCCAGCGCCGGGCGTGCCACGGCAATGGCGCCGGGAACGACCTGTCAGCGGCCGCCAGCTCCGTCCTCGTCCTCCTCCTTTTTCTCCTCTTCCTCCTCCTCCTTTTTCTCCTCTTCCTCCTCCTCCTTCTCCCAGTTCGCTCCCTCAACCGCTGCCCAGCGGCGACCCCCGCCCTGCAGAGGCCCCGAGCAGAACCGCGACACGGGCAGCAGCACGGCGAGGCAGCAGAGCCCCGGCCTCGCGCAGCCGCCCCGCAGAGCGCTCACCCGCTGCGGTGCTTGCTGTCCATCCGCTTCTTCTGCCGGACCGGCTGCAGCGGGATGTTGTCGGTCATGGCCGCGGCGGCCGGGGCGGAGCGGGGCGGGATGCGCTTCCCAGCAGCGCCTCGGCTCGGCGCGGCTCCGCCGACGGGGCCGCGCTCCCAGCACGCAGGTGCCGCGCCCGCCCCGCCCGGTTCGCCCCGCCCCGGCTCGGTTCTGACCCGCGGGCGGCACCGGCTCGGAACCCGCTGGCGGGGTACCGCGCTGCCGGCACCCGTGCCCGCCCGCATCCCGCATCCCGCATCCCACCTGCCACTTCCCCTTGGTGCCCCCAGCTCTTCTTCCCAGCCGAGCTCAGCACCCTCATACTGGCATCGCTGGTCTCCTGCACGCACAGCCTCTGCATGCGTGGCCACCTGGGCTTTCCCGGAGCAACAGGCCCGCGGCACGACCTGTGCGTCCTCTGCCTCCTTCAGCCGGCACATGTGGACGGGTAGAGGTGCTGCTTGTGTCTCCCGTTACACCACCCCTCCACCCACATCACAGGACGAGGATCCCAGGGCTGCCCCTCGCATCATTCTTGCCTGATGACCATCACCCACACCCGGCCACGACTCACTTTCAGGCCTGATTCAGATTTCAACTGTAAATTCAGACAGGAGTCGTCCCAACATTTCTGTTCTGTTTAAGACTCAAAGCTTTTCTTTCCCCGTTCCTGCAGCCACTCCCCATAAGACTTGTGCTCCAGACCCTGTTCGGCTTTGCTGCCCAGCTCTGGGTGTGCTCCAGGGGCCTCAGTGACCTTCCTGTAGTGAGGGGCCCAACACTGAGCACAGCACTTGGGGCAGCCTCACCGGTGGCAGTACAGGGGGGCGATCACCTCCTGCTGACCACCTCCTTCCTGCCTGAAACCACCAGATTCACACCTGTGCACCCCACGGATGGAGGAAATGCCCAGTGCTGATAAGGATCAAACAAAACAGAGCTACATGTCCATCTCAGCATCTTCTGCTGCAGTCTTGGTCACCACAGGATCTACATCTCTTTCTAGTTCAAGGCCAGCTTTCACTCATCCACTTGCAGACTGCTGGCAAAACCTTTCCCTTACCAAATAACCTGCCCACAATCGGTCACCAGGCAAAGAGATCTGTGTCCTTGTACCTGCTGGCAGTGCTGCTGCAGCTCCTTGCCCTGCCTGCACTTTGTCTTGTAGCTCATCGTCCTGCTGAGCTAAAATACCACAGTGACAGTGACCAAGAGCAGGGAATAAGTGAGCCATAGTGTAAGTCCAACAGCTCTGTCTCTTATATTAAAGCACATGAGGCATTCCCATTTAAAACATACATTACCTGCAGAGTGCTTTCCTGCCAAGTTTCACCGTGGGATTCTGGGCAAGTAAAATGCATGATAAAAATGATGAATCATTATTCAGCAACACCACACAAGCATGCTGTGTATTGTAATATACAAACCATGGCATTCAAATGACAGGCTTTAAAATACCCATTGGGTGCAAAATACATGTGTCCTGATGGAACAGCAAACACTGCTCTGCAGTCCTTCAGAGACTGCTCACACTGAAATGAAAACTGATGAGCATCATCCTAATGCTCTAATTGCAGCCACAAACTCCATTTTTTGGCATATCAAATTCTGAATGGATGGAACATTTGTTTTTTTAAGATTAAGTTTAATGTAATCTTAATTAACAGTCATAACTTTCCCAGTGAAAAGGGAAAAAAGGAAAAGAAAAAGAAAAAGAAGGAAAGAACAAAAGAACAAGTCCTGTCAAATTTTGTGGGGAGCTCTGTTTGCTCTCCAGCCCTCCCAGAGCATCAGCTCAGGTTGCACTGTGGGTTACAAATGAACAACAACTGCGATCGTCAGTTCTTTTCTGTGCAGTTGCAGCCTCCCTGCCTCACCCTTCTGCCTTTCCCCCCAGGTCTCCATCACCCATCAGGCCCCTCCTCTCCCTCCCTGCATCCACTGCCTGTGGCACAGCTGCTCACCCATGGGCAGAGTTTTCAGAGCGCCTCACAGATCCTCACACTGACCTGGATCTCTGCCTCACACCAATTAAAGGTAAGTAAACCATAGAATCATACAATCATACAATCATAGAATCGTAGAATCATAGAATGCCCTGGGTTGAAAAGGACCATAATGATCATCTGGTTCCAACCCCCTGCTGTGTGCAGGTCGCCAACCACCAGTCCAGGCTGCCCAGGGCCACATCCAGCTGGCTTCAAATGCCTGCAGGGATGGGGCATCCACAGCCTCCTTGGGCAGCCTGTTCCAGTGCCTCACCACTAAGCTATTATGGGGTGGTGCCTACCTTCCTCCAAGAAACAAGACCAGTGCCGGTTACCCACTCAAACAAGAGATGTTTGCTTTGACAGCATGTTTGCAATGTTTGACCATTACTTATTTAGCACAGTATGCCATAAATTTTATTCTACTCTAGTTATGCATTTAAATAAATGATTGAGTCTGTCACGCACAGGATTCCTGTGATTTGAGCTGATGAACACTATTGAAGGTGACAACACCAATACTCTGCTTGGCTTTTTATATGCTGGAAGAGCAATAAAGTTTTGGGGCTGCATTGGCTTTTGCTTACTATGTTTGTTGCTTTTCCCCACTGTCCCCAAACACGAGTGCCAAATTATAGGCCATTATAACATCTAAGGGAACGGCTCAGATGCAGGTGTGTAACTGGTTGCACAGACAGCTCCCAACTGTGGCATTTTGCCTGTACCTGTCATTACCTTGTTTCATAACTGCAAGCTTTACAAAGGCCAGGGTTCACCTTCTTTGTCTGAAAATGCTGCCCTGCACACACGGTGCAGCTCCATCTGCAAGGCACACAGCGTGCAGGCGCAGGGAGCCGGCTGCTAAGGGCTTGCAAACCTGCAGGCATGCGTGCATGATTTCCCCACACACAGACTCACTCACACAGATGACACGGAAACAGAAGCTCAGGGGAGGAGAAACGTCACTGTCTCAAGGCACTGCTGGGACAGATCTGGGCTGTGGCACTCACTCAAAACAAAGGCAGCGTGCAGAAGATGCCCGCTCCCAGAGCTCAGCAGCCGCACACGCAGTCATTGCCAGGAAGGAGCATTTTGGTAAGAGAAACACAAAACAAACAGGGATGTCGGAGCAGGAACTGTCAGCACTGCGCTGTCCTCGCTTGTGCGCCCTGAGCCTACGTGGGATGCATTCAGCTCTTAAATTTATCTTCCAAGCGTCTGAGCTCAGACAAGAGCACTGCAATTAATGGGCGAGCTAAACACTACCAGATCACAATGCCCTGTTAACACCTGCATCTCTGATCCGCGCAGACGGCTTTGATATTATTTTTTTTCTTTTGACAAGTGGGCGATAGCGGATATCCTTTAAGCCCATATTTAATGAAGCCCTCCATAAATCCATCAACACTTGCTAAAGGAAACTACAATAAAGCTCATTCTGCCATAGGCTTTGCTACGGAGGGAACATTTGGCGTTCTCATAATGAAGCTGCAGAGCAGAGACTTCTCACGCTGATCTGAGGAAGTGCAGTATTTGTATGGGATCTTTTCCCTCCTCACTCAATTATGTGTTGCAGATCAAGAGGAGGACAATCCCTCAATATCGAATTTTCACAACAAGAATATCGTCAAGCTGTCATTCCTTTAGGACAGCTGTCAGATATAAGGAACAAGGACAGAAAAAGGTGCTGATTTCAAGAAAAATAAACACTATTTATTCTTGAGATGATTTTGCTATTAGCTTCAGCTGTTTTCTAAGCTGTTCCCATGCTGATTTTTACTGTTGTTACACATCCTGTGGGTGGGATCAAAGAAATGAAAACCTTCAAACTGAGAACAAATGGTTTACAAATTTGTCATACATCTTGCGTTTGTGAACTTTTCAAAAACCATCTCTAGACATCGGTCATTGTGTCAGACCGACAAAACCGATGGGGGAACAGAGGAAGGGATAATGAAGAAATGACACTTTTCCAAATCTGGACATGGTGAGCTGAGAACACATCTGGAGATGTAGATATGAAAGCAGCCGATTGAGTGACCGCCTGCTAAACGTTAAGGACCTGAGTAACCGAGCTGCCTTTCCCAAAACAGCCAATGTGCCAGCAAATGACTGCTGCTCTGAACATACAGACTGCACAGGGACAATTTTTTTCCTGAAACAAACGTGCAGAGAAAGGTCTTCAGGAGTGTAAGGGGCCGTTAAGCCAACTCTGTGAGCCTGATTAAGCCATCTCAGTCAACACACACGCAATTGCACAGCCACTGAGGGCCCGGGAAGGTATCACACATGGAGGGTTGCAGCACAGATCCTGCCTTACTGCAGCAGCAGTGCAGTACACCCTCCAGTGTTTTGCTCCATGCAGCCCTGGGGCAGGCACAGCTGGCCCTCACATTCCTGTAGCCCCCAGCATTGGTGCTGGTCTGAAAGCGGAGATGAGCTAACTGGAGAATGGACAAATGGCCCAGAGCAGTTAAAATAAAAATGGTACCTTATTTATACTGCGGGTCATATTTGTTCTTACATCTATCTAAGCAAAAGCATAGAAACTTTTCTATACAACAGTTAGCAAACTGTTTTCTAAAATTATTTCTTTTGTTGTTTTTTTGCTGTTCGCTGTGTCCTGCTGGACCAGAATAGGGAGGGAATCCAGAAGCACCCCCTGTATCACCATCCCAAGGGCAAGCAGGCTGCAGATCCCCCCCACCCCTCCACAGCCCCTCAGTGAGCTGCCCCTGTCAGAAGTTACATGTGACAAGAGTGAGACTCATAAGGAGCTCTGAAAGGAGAGGGATGCTGCGCTGGACTGGCTGGGAAGGCCAGCACATAATTTAGGTACAACGAGCTCTAAAAATCACACCAATAAATCAGCATCTGTCAGACACCTTCTCAAGTATCAGTGGCATTAACAGAAGAAGGCTGCAAAGAAATACCACTCTTTATAAGCAACTAAGTTCAGTTACTGTAAGTTGCTTTTTAAGTTCAGAAAATAGAAAATATAGGATAATGTAATACAACGTAATAATTTACAGCAGTGTGCAACTGATGGTTTGGGTTTTTTTTTTGCCCCTGAGTTACATTTCCTGCCCTGCTGGGTGTGCAGTAAGAGACTCTTTTCTAGGTCAGTGATGAACGCGAGACAGAGCTGAGTGCACGGCCAGTGCTCACCCACAGCCCAGCACAGGATGGGACCCCCAGAGCTCAGCACCAGGGGCTGAGCACCACTGAAAGCACCAACCGTGTGCCATCACCCAGCTGCTATGAAAGCTCTCTGCCTCAACTGCTGTCTGGCAAACACTGGCAGCCACTTCTTCTAATCCCAAATGTACCTACAACCACAAACTGCTGCAAACACAGTGCTTTTCATCAGGAGAACATCACAGACAGACACGTTGCTTATCCCTGCTCCTCTATCTCAGCCTATCTGCCTTCCCACTGCTGCAGGTCCTTTCCACCTGGACCACGGCCACCCATGCTTTGCTCCAGCCTGCGCCCATCAGCCTCACCTGGGGAGCTGCTACCCAACTCACTGAGGGAACCTCACCCCCTGAAGTCCCTGCTTACTTTTTGAAACACTTTGGACTAAAAGGGTAAGTCAAGAGAAATGTTTCTTTAGAATACAGCTAATATATTACAGACTTATCATTTTCTTAAAAATCAAGCCAATTTTCAAGTTCAAATTTAACATTTTTAGCCTTATGTCTTCGCCTTCGCTTGAACAGTGAGCATGCTGCATTCCCAACTGCAAAGAGGCCCCTGTTGAGTGAGCTAATAGCAAAGAGGAACAGGGAAGTCCTTCAGGTGAGAGGACAGGCTGATGAGCAGAGACCACAGGCGTGCTGTGCTCACACTGCTCTCACATCAACACAGCTGGTTTGACTTCAGTAAACTTGTTCCTGCTTCACCAGAAAAACTTAAGCACTGTGTGTGAAAAAGCCATCCCAAAATTTATTCTCAAAATGCCAACAGAAACTCGTCAGTAGATACTCAAAACTACAGAGTTCTTACATAAAAGTCATACATTCACAATGCAGAAAACTTGACAACAGGGATGCCTTTTGCATGTTCCATGTAACAATATCCATCTTACAGTGTAAACAGGTACTGGTATGTTCTCACGTACAAGTCCAGCAGGAAAGGCACAACTCGGCATACAGAGATCATAAGCAAGAATCAGGTGCAACAACATTACACAAACTTTTGGTAATCTGTACTTTTGGAGCCTTCCACAACAGAGACTGGACTTGATTTCCTGTGGTCCCAAAGACTTCTTTCCATCGCTCAGTCCTTCTTTACCAAACGCTCAGTTTCCAGTCTGCTTTAGAGCCCACTACACACGGCTCCAGCAGACATCAGAGGAATAGTGAAAGGTCAGTCCAGTAAGTCTTCAGGTGCTTCCACTAATACATCAGGTTTTGGTTTCAGATAGTGCATGGAAGCATCTGCTTGAATCTCAGTTTATTACAGTGGTCATTAATAGAAAAATAGACACTACATCTACAAAAAGAAAAAAATGAGGTAGATAACTTAGAATCCAGATGACCATCCCAGCAACCTTCATACAATATGCACGGATCATTAATTACCATTTTGGCAGAATGCAACTTCACAGACCACCAAGAAACTTAATGACCAGACTAGGAATGCCATCCAAAACCCAAAAAAACATTTAACCTAAGCATGAATACTTCATATTTAAATACAGGTTTACACAGACTGATCTTCTAAATTACTCAAATTAAAACAATAAAACTAAAAAAAAAAAAAAAAAAAAAAGTCTCTTGCTAAGGAAACTAGTTCCCATGCCTAATTGCAACAGTCACCTGAGATTCCTTGCAGAGCTTTTAGACCTGACTTCCCAAGGCAAGTCTTCCCTTTCAAGAAAGAAGAAAGTATATACATACCCACCCACATTTGTTTTGGGCTCTTGGTACTGAAATAAAACATCTAGGAAAAACTGCACATCTTTGGAAGTAGGGGTTTTGGCACTATACGTGGAGGACTGTTCTAGTAGTACTATTAAATAAGCAGCAGTCAATGAAACAGAATTCCTTAGAAGCAGTGATTGAAGAAAAACAGCAACTTCCTTTCATAGAACTTCTGAGGCAAAAAGGAATTAAAAAAAAGTCATTTTTATCGCCATTATAGTAAAAAAAAGTACATTCAGAAATCACACAGAGCCAAAAATTCAAACAGAAAAACTACTTCTAAGAGGGTGGCAGACATTCTAGGATATTTACCCGCATTAACAGCTTTCATTTCTTATCAGCAAATACAAGCTTCTCCACCAACAGTAGGCTGTTTCCACTCTATTTAAAACCCCCAAGTATTTCACTCTAAATGAAGAGGTAAATAATCTAAACCTTTGGAATTTCAAGTTGTAGAAATTTCTGTAAGGCTGTACACATTAAAGTCACACATAAGAACTACTTTGCAAGACCCGCATCTTTCCAAATAAAAGGAAAACCTATTCTTTATTATTTACTATTTGCAAAGCAATACCGTGATTGTACTCTGGGCAACGTAATCTTACAAAGACAACCATAAAATCATTTGCACGTCAATAGGAAAATAGGAGGCTGAAGTGGAATCTCTTAAAAATATATGTTTGTATATATATATTTGTTCTTTCTGCACGTCATCTTCACTAGAGCTCTTAGCTAACAGCAATTTTGTTCTCCTCCATGAAGTGAGGGAACTGATGTTTTGGCACGTTGTCTGCAGCGGCTCCGCCGGCCTTTTCCGTGTCAGAAGCAGCCCCAGACTGGGTCCCATCCGCTTTGGAAACCGTAGCAGTGTTTATTGCTGAAGCACCCGCAGCACTGCCTGGAAGGGTCGGTAAGCCGCCGCTCTGGATCACTGAGATCTCGTTGGTCTTCATTGCTATGCCATTGCTGAGTACCGCCGTGTACTGATTCCACACTGTGGGGTCAATGCTCACCGAAGGAGCCATGATATCCTTGGGAAACATTTCGGATACCTTCTTGGGGTCATTCCCCAGTAGAGCCATGGGGTTATCGATCGAAAGCCTCCTTCCCCGCCTGGCAGAATTATTCCACATGTGAGTTCCCACATGGACCTTTCCAGGAAGGGAAACAGAGGATCATTAATGCCACAATTCTCTTACGACAAACTCACATTCTGCTTTGCTTGCAACTAGAAGAAGCTATGAGTGCATTCATAGTCAGTGAGCCTTCAGGTAGGTGTTTAAGCCAGTTAGTTCTCGCCTGCCTTTATCCTCACCCTTCCCACCTGCATGACAGTCACTCAGCAGCCTTTTGTAACCACGGCTCCTCAGCTTACTACTGGAGCGCTTGTAGCAGTGTGTTCTTACACTTATTTGGAATGACATCAGCACGGTTGCTCCCCCACCTTTCAAAAAAGAAAAGCCACATTATCTGCCACCAACAGACTGCACTGAAGCAGTACTACTCAATGCAAGATAAGAAAAAACAAAAAAGGCCTCACCAAGCAATTTGGAAGAGATGTTACACCTAAGCTAAAATCTTCCGTGCCGCACACAAGGCACTGCTGCTTCCCACAAGCAATTGCTCACAAATTGCACAGTTTAACGTCTTCCCTCCCCAAATGCATTTATGCAAGTAAACTGAACATTTCTCATAGGACTGCACCAAGGAGCTGCGAGTCCCCTGTAGGGCAAATGGACTAATCTGAAGACAAACAGACAGGAGTCAAAGCGACCATTTGAAGAGCCAGAAGAAAGCCCAAGCTGTTCCCAACAGCAATAGTTCTTCCCTCCTTGCTAAGGCCTTCCCCAGCAAAGGGGACCACAGTGCAGCAGGCAGCTTACCTTCAGGTTCCCTTTCGTTGTAAAGGCTCTCCCACAGATGGTGCAGGCAAATGGCTTTTCCCCTGTATGCGTCCGCTCGTGAATCTGCAGGGCGCTGGCGGAGGAGAAGTTCTTCCCACATGTAGTGCAGATGTGCTGTTTGGCTGGACGGCAGAACTTCGGTCGTGGCACCAGAAGAGGGGCAACACCAGGGGAGAGAGCTGGTGGGCCAATGAAATGGCCAGTGCTAATGGGACGTTCACTTGGTATTTCCATTTTTATGAGGGCTGGTGGGGCTCTAACAAAAGTAGCTGGAATACTATTTCGACCTTGAGAGAAAAAAGGAATATATATATATATATATATACATACATATATACACACACACACACACATATATATATATATATATATATATATATATATATATACACAGACATTTATCTACACACACCTGCACACACAGTATTTATCCCACCTACATCTGCATTCAAGGAAAAGTCTGTCTGGGATACAGAAGCCCCCACCTTTAGAGATACATGCTTGCAGAGCCCTGTAGAGCCCTATGGTAGGGCTGTTACACACAAACAAATCTTCTCATTCCTGTCTTTTCTAATGATCTTAAGACTTCAACATTCTCACTTCCTCACCAAATTTAGATAAACATCATTCTTGGTGCTAAAGAGCTCAAAAAACCCCACAAAATGCTCCAGTGTTTTAATGCCACATTCTTGGGTTAAATGGTTTTCCACAGAATATCAACATGTATACTTTAAATAGCTACAGGGAAGTATCAGGTATGTCCAGGAAATAGAGCAAGCGCACAGCCTCTGCTTATTTTAAGGGGCTGTGCTCCCCTTGCATGAGATGTCTTTTTTTTTTTTTAAGCCTTGAACTTTTTCTAAAATTTTGAGTCTGAGGCAGGAAAGCACGGTCTAAATGGAGAAGGGGGAACTGAACAGGTTTTTCCTCCTGTTTGTTCTGCTAGAAAAGGCTTTCTTCCATCCCGCTCCCCCACCCCAACTTATTGCAGCATTTCACATTACTCACCATACTCTCCATTTGCAAAGTGTAGCCCAGGTTCTTCTTTAATGACTTTCCGACCAATGTTGCCATAAGTTAAATCCAAAGCAACGACCCCTTCCATCTCTCCAGCAGCACCCTCAGGGCCCTCTGATTTACTTCCCGTGCCTACATCTTCTTGGCTGGTGAAGCTCGGGGACTTTGACCTCACGCTCTCAGTTTGGCTGTTGGCAGGGGACAGAGCCTGCAGCGAGGTGGACTCGGAGGCAGCAGGACTTCGGCCATTCTGATAGTCTGGATCTCCAGCCACAGAAGACGAATCGTTCGTCATGCCATCACTTTCTGTAGAGCCATTGTCACTAGACTTCAAGCTGCTTTGCCGTTGCAGGTTCAGAGCAGAGTTGACAATCTTCATTTGATTCTCCAGTGCTGCAATGCCAGAGAAGCCAGCAGCTGCGGCCGGCAATTCTGACTGTGCATCGAATGGGGTAGAAGGTTTGGAGGAACTCCTGGGGCCATCCTGAGACTCCAGGTCCTCTTCCATCTCCATGCTTTCCATGCTTTCATCTGGGCGGCTGATGTCACCGTTCTTCTCAGCTGCAGCAGGATCCACTTCAGCACTGTCACAGGTATTTTCTGGCAGGGGTGTGTTAGGTATCTGTCCCCCCATATGCATGCGGATGTGCTGCTGCAACACAACCGCATTTGTGAACTTCTTCTGGCAGATAGGACACGAGTGTTGCATCTTCAGAGGAGTATTGGCCCGATGGACACCATAATGAGTTTTGAGATTCCCTTTGGTGGAGAAGGCACGGCCACAGATTTTACACTTGAACGGCCTCTCCCCGGTGTGGGTACGATAATGCATTTTGAGGGAGCTCTGGCAGCTCAGCACTCTGTGACAGATCAGGCACTCATTGGGGTCCGCAGTGGACTTATCGATGTTCTCAACCAGCTGCTGAAGCTTGGATGTTTCTGAGCCTTGCTCGTTCGACCCGGCCACGTGGAAGATGCTCACACTGCAGGCAGCTTGCGGAGAGCTCAAGCTCTGCTCTGTTCCTGATTCATGACCGACTGCCCCAGATGAGGAAGAGCCACCTTCGCTGTCTGGAGAAGGCCGAGAGGGCAGCTCTGCTGAGAAGGCGGCCGGCTCCTTGGTGCCCGTGAGGCTGGGGGCATTCGGAGGAGCGCTGGAGGCTGCAGAGGTAGGCAGGGTTGTCAGCAGGGGTTTGCTATCCACAATCAGGTTAGACTCATCCAGTGGCACAGACATCCCGTACGGGATCCCACTGCTTGTGGGAACATTGTCCAGGTGCTCAGGGACCGGGTAAGGGTTCATCTTGATGTGGGGGTATTTGTCTTTGTGACGCTGAAAATGCACTTTAAGGTTTCCTTTGGTTGTGAAGCGGTTACCACAAATGTTACACTTGTAGGGTCTCTCCCCGGTGTGGGAGCGGAGGTGGATCTGCAGGGCGCTGTCGTTGCCAAAGACCTTGCCACAGAATTTACACTTGTGTTTGAAGAACGGCTCCTCCGCATTCGATTTGCTTTCAGACACACAAATATTGGGAGGTTTCCCTTTCACCCTCTTTGAGGAATCTATGACAGAAGAAACGGCCGAAAGGGGATTCTGGAAGATGACGGAGTGGGAGGACTGAGGTAGCAAAGGATTCGGGAACCGAGAAATGGAGCCAGCAAAGGTTCTGCTCGCCTCTGGCTTCAGGGGGAAGGAGGAGGAGAGGCCGGCAGCCAGCGAGCCGGCGGCCGCAACACCAGTGTTAGCATGAGGTAGTTTGCCTTGCTTCAAGGATTCCAGCGATAGGCTCTGGCTCCCCGCCTTCTGCCCGATCAGCGCCACGGCGGCCGACAGCTGCTGGGACATGTGAGCACCCAGCGCCTTCAGCGGGTCGGCGGCAGCGGCTATGGAGGGGTGCAGGGCGTGAGGGGCCATCATGGCGATCTGGATGCGGATCTGCTCCGTCAGCTGGATCTGCTGGAGCTGCTGCTGCTGCAAGCACACGAGCTGCTCCAGGATCATTGGAATAGCGTTAAAGCTGGCGGCTGAAGAAGCGATGGCGTCAGTGGTACGCTGGTTCACAGCCACTTTAGTGCCACGTATCGTCTGCAAAGTCACGTTAGTGTTCGGTACTTTGGATTTTGGTAGATAGCTCAGCCCAGGAGTCGCGGGTGCAGCCGGGGGTTCTATTTTGAGGTACATCCCTCCTACCGATTCCGCGTCGATTTTTCCTTCTCTCTTTTCCGCAGAACTGGCGCAGCCCTTCGCCTGAGTGTCCTTGCGTGCCCTGCTATCCCCTCGGTCACTCGAGAAGCTCCCGACAGCAGCTTCGGAGAAGCCTTCAGGAGGGACTGCTCCCTCGCTGTCATTCATGATTAGGACAGGCGGATTTTTAGTGCAATTTTTCTTATGCTCAAGGAATTCAGAGAGATCGAAGAATTCTGCACAGCATTTCTCACAGATCTTTGTTTCCTCTGTTCGGCACCTTTTGGAGCTCATTTCGCCATCTCCATCACCTGGGACGTCTCGTGGACTCCCTTGAAACAAAGAAGTCACATTGTTAATTGCTGGACTTAGACTGGCCCCACCAGAACTGCAAGCCAAAGACACAGGATGTTCTGAGAGTCCCACAGTCCAGTTTGTGGATTGAAATCCTACTCCTTTGCCATGAGCGCACTGGCAATGTTAAGAAATTATGCATCTCAGTTCTGTTTTCCATAAAACCAAAACAGAGGAAGTCTCATGAGGCTTGACAGAAGTTTATCGCAAATCCCTTCATACAGATAGAAATGGAACAGTACAAGCCAGCTAGTCCCTGCAACATGGCTTGGAGTATGACCCAGGTGAGAAAAAACAGGCACCCTAACAGAGGAAAAACCTGATTACTGTAAGCTAACTTTGTGTTCAGTTGTTTTTGTTCGTTTGAACTTCAAAATTCTTAGTTAATGGCCTCACAGAAATTGTTAGCACAAAGTTCAGAGCAGTTCATTCTTCACTGTACACCAATACAGTAAATGACATTCATTCCTCCATTATGGAGGTAATTACTACCTAAGAGGGCTGACAGAAGCAAAATTAACTCTAATATTAGCTCTGAAATATTTCAGAAGCAAACTCACATGAAAAGGCCTCTAGAAAGTCACAGCAATAACAAGACAACAATTAACTCACAAGAACCCCAGAGGCAGAAATGAACCTACACTGATGCTGACAACTACTGGAATGCCGAGCTGTAGCCCTGCTTGTGACACACATTAAGTTTCAGACCCAGTGAGGATGCAGTGCTTAGCTGCATCTGTAAATTATTCCTTCTCTCACTAAAAGGAGACAAAACTCGCAGGTCCACCCCTGCCCTCCACCTGCTGCCACCCCACAAACCAAGCACTATTTGCAAGAGGACACATACAAAATATGACTCAGGGAAGTACCAGAATGGGAAGAGAGGTTGAGAAATTCTAAACCAAAACAGGATGTTTTTGCTCAACCCAACCATCCTTCAAGCACCAAGCTCCTGCCAGCTCAAGGTGGGTGAGCATGCAGGAGACGAAGCTCCAGGCCCCTGTACTGCAGTGAGGATGAACGGGCACAGCTCCGGACAGCCCAGCACCACACAGCATCCTGCAACCTGCAGTAAGCGCTCCAAGCCTTATGGGTGCCAGGGCACAGCAAGCAAGTCCCCCACTCGCCTCCCACACGCACCAGGGGCACGTTGCAAGTCCCACCACCACAACATCTGAATCACAAGTCCCCTTGGATTCAGGTCCCGCATCTCCAGTGCTTCACCCCAGGGCTGAGCTCCGATTCCACACTACCAACCCACACTGTCCTGAAATGGAACCAAGTACTCTGCAAGCACCAGAGCGATCTGTGGCTTTCATTTTAAAGGTGTAACTGAACCACACATCCGATACGTGTATATCCTGTACATGGCAGGGTGGAGGTGTCTGGGCAGCAGCCCCAGCACGTTCACCATCTGCTCTGGGGCAGCATAAGAGCTCTGCGGGGGGTGATATTGTAAACCTTGACATTTGTCCAGGTAAAAGAGTATTATATATACATATATATTCAACTAATCAAAACTTTAACTGCTTAACATGTTGAGTGATGGAAGTACACGTGAAAGCTTTTTTAAAAAACTAGTTCAACTCCAGCCTCTGTGTATTGGAGACCTGCTGTACTGCAGTCTGTGGTACAAATCTGGGCACACGCAATTCTACTAAACACACTTCAGGTTACATTTCAAAACGAGGTGCTCTTAGCTGTGATCAACACGGTTTCAAACCCTCATATCTAAACAGCAAGTCAGGGAGAGTGACACATTTTTTTTCACCCCTCCCCCCCAAACAACTTTCACAAATGAAGGAAATGAAAAAACAAAAATAAGAGTTTTGTTGACATACTTCCCACTGCAAGCGGGAAACTGATGTGCCTAAATTCAATTTAACTACGAAAAAACAAATCTGGTCTGTAGAGTGCTTAAGTAGAAGAAGTACATGATGCAGAACTCGGTCAATAATTAGTGTCAGCTGAGGTCAAGAATGGATGTCTTCCAGCTCCCATGTCTGGGACAGTCCAAGCAGTTTCAATGGAAAAGAAAGCACTCAACAGTGGAAGAAGTGCCTTCTCTAACTGTGCTGCACAGACTCTGGGTTTTTCCTTGACTACATGAGTAACTATTCCCACCCAACAGGTACTTCACAGAACCACAGCTGTAAACACCAAAACCTCTTTTCCAAGTCCTTTAGCATTTGGAGCTTTATCTTCCCGAGTTGCAAAATACCCCTAGGTTTTGCTTCAGGAAGAGCAACACTTTCTGCCCACATCTCCTGTGAGCACGCACACACACATCACACCACTGAGTTTGCATCTCCATGGAGGCCTCATGAAATGCTTCAGGTGGAGCAGAGATGCCCGCACAACAGACTATAGCCCACCCCAAAGAGGTGTTCCAGCATAACCATGTCTAGACAAGGTCTCAAGCTACTTCCAAGCATACCATCATAACTCCGTCCCATTGACAGCTCCTTCTTCTTTTGCCACCAATAAGACTGTGCTATATCCAAAGACTGTCATTCCCCTCCAGCTCCAACAAAATCCACATCCCCCATTTCCAGAACTCCGAGGAGTTCCAGAAGAGACTTTTCTGGTCTCACACACCCCTGCCACTGCTCAGATGGAGCAGCAGATCCCCAGGCCCAGGAGCAGCAGGTGGGGCTGCCCTGTGCAGCTGCCAGCACTGCTACCATCACATTTTGGTTGCCAGTTCCCCCATCAGCAAGGCACTAGCTGAGCACTCCAAATGAACTGAATTCCCAGCTTGCATTGCCCTGCTGTATGACACAGAAGGGAAAGAAAGGCGTAACGCTTCCCTACAACTCAGGGAAATGAAGTACAGCGCTTCATTTATCTCAAAACACTTTGTCGGTGGTGGTTTGGAAGATATACAGCAGGAATACGGCGCTCAGTCACCCCACAGCAGCTGGGACACAGAGGAGCACTCCAACACCCCACTGACACCAACACCACACCTGCACCCAGCTGAGCCCCAGCTCTGAGCACTTCCCGAGCAGCCCAAGCCAGCCACAGCACTCCGCTCTGCCCTCTCCAAATGCTTCTCAGGAGCAGGGCTTCTCCTGGCCTTGGTGCTGTGGGTTTTGGTTTGGGTTTTTTTTTTGTTGTTTCTTTTTTAAATCTCCCCACCCCCGAAATTCAGGAATGTTATCTCCCAGCATCTAGTTATCCAATAAGTTAGAAGAATGCAGTAAACCCAGCAGGGGGGTTAGATTGAATCACTGGCAAATGGATGGAAAAAATCCACTATTGTGTAGGACAAGGCGGTCATCGACAAGAAGGGCTGATAAAATCCACACTGCTCGAATTAAGGGAGGTGGTTTTTTGAGAGAGAAAGAGCCAGTAAAAGAGGAGAGAAGTAAATCTTATCTGGTTTGATTTCATTCCAAGCAGGGCGCTGCTGGCCCTCTGCTCAGCTCAGCAATTAGCAGCCTCCTTTTTTTTCAACTGTGAGAAAGTTTTTCTGGATGCGATTTAGAAGGCATCGCTCAGGGCTAAAACTGTTTTCTTTTTCCTCCTTTGGGCAGTTTAATGCCTTCAGTGAGCACTTTTCCCTCTGACCAGGTATGATCAGCTTCTAATACTTGAACATGATTTCAGCTGCGGACACACGTGCCCGTTTCCTGCAGGCTGGGAGCAGTCAGCCTTGAGGTGCCCTCTGTGCCCCCCAGCACTGCCCTGCTGCCCCTCACGCCTCCAGCTGACAAGTCTGGCCACTTCCAGAACTGTCTGAACTTTCCCCTCTGCCCTAATGCAAAATAACACATTTTTTAAAATATATTGAAAGAAAAAGTTTTAAAAAAAAGTCACTCATTTGAGTACGCCAAGCCTTGGACTGATTTCTTACAGGAGTAATTCCAAAGGCCTCCGTGCTTTCTCTGCCGAATTTACCTGCAGCATTTGTTATCCAAGCCATCCACGTGTTACCCCGACTGCAACTCCTCGTGCTTTCAGGTTTCCTCAAGGCCTTTTTCTAAACCATCTGACCACCTATCTAACGACTTGCTTTTTGGTCGTCTCTCTGTCAAAGCGAAAGATCCGCCCAAGGTCACCGTGAGCCACGGCAACACCGCACCCGAGGGGCAAAGCAGCGTTCAGCCGCACGTGGAAGAAGAAAAAAGTTCGCAGGTCTCGAACCCAGCACACCGCTCACAGCCCCCCCACTCCCCCAGAGAGGCCCGGAGCCCCGCTCCCGCCCCAGCAGCCTCCGGAGGTCGTTCCGAAGTGCTTTACAGCCCGGAGCCGCCGCAGTGCCCCCCGCCCGCGGTTATCCGCGCCGCGCGGAGCCCGGCGGGCAGCGGAGGGCACTCACGGCCCGCGGGGTGGGGGGGAGCGGGGCCCGCGAACCCACGGGCCACCCATGCACTGGTATTACTTTTCTTATTATTATTATTTAAAGCAAAGGGGCTCCCCCCGTCCTGCTACAAAGCAGAAGTGCTGTAACAAAAATAGAGCTTTCCCCCCCGCACGAGCAGCCCGGCCCGGCCCTACCTGCTCTGCGCGGAGCTCCGCGGCGCGCTCCTCCCGCTGCTGTGAGCGCGGCGGCCCCGGACCGCACTTAACACGAGTACAGTGTTTAAGACCGAGCTAAACGGCACAAACCCCGCTGCCAAGGTCAATTGCATGAGAGTCCTAATTGTAAGCCTGACATCAACTTACCACCCACAGCAAGCGGGAGGAGGCAAAGGTTAGAGCAGCAGCTCTGTCAAAACGTCACATGCCGCCGAGCCCAGCGAAGGGCTCCATCACTACAACCAATATAATGTTTCACTTACGTAAAAGGAAAAACAAGCGGGCATCGCCCAGCCCCGGGCCCCTCCGGCCGCGCAGCCCCGCGCGTCCCAGCCTCTCCCACCCCCCTCCCCGCCCTGCGCCCATTTCGGACGAATCCAAACGAATAATAATAAAACCCACCGCTACCAAACTCGTCACTTTCCTCATCGAACACCTCACCAACATCAGCACAACTCCACGCACAGAGCGCGGAACTGAAGAAACGAAGTCCAGAACCACCCCGAGAAAAGCTGCAGTTTGATACTGTATTTTTAAGAATAAATCAGATGGTTTTATATATATATATATTTTTAGTGGCGGCTACGGGGCACAATGGCCATTTTCATCCCCTTTGTGGAAATGCTAATTTCTCTCTATCGCATGATCCCCCGATGCCCACCTGCTGATTTTTTGACCTGTTAATTGATCACCGCGTTGGCCGCGCCGCAGCTTAACGCGCCGCATTGTTCGCAGAGGTGGGTCCGCATCGCTTCGGGAAACAAAACAAAAAAAAAGGGCATTTGCAAACTAGGAGATAAGGGCTTGATTTTATTATTTCGATTATGTATATACTGTCGATAACGTCCCAGCCAAATCCCTGCGGTATTTCCACTTTGTTACGTGCCCTCAGCACTCCGACACACCTGGAGCGGGGAATACGGGTACCGCTTCGGAGATCAGACACTCGGAACCCACGTGTTTTAATTTGGGAAGGCACGGAGCTCCCGCAGAGCTCGGGGCCGCGCCGCCGGGACGTGTCCCGACCGAGGCCGGCCCGAGGGGTCCCGGCAGAGCGCGGCCGCGGGGCGGCGCCCTGCAGCTCCATCCCGGCTCCATCCCGGCGGCGCTCCGGTGCCTCCGCTCCGACCCACAAAGGCGGCCCCGGCCCCATCCCGGCGGGAGCAAAACCCCCCGGAGGGGTGAGAACTTCGCCAGGTTCCCCCTGGCCCGTGCTGCTCCGGCTCTCATGGTGGGCGGAGGGTTTCATAGAGGGATATATAAAAAGAAGGGCGAGGAAAAAAGAAAAGGGGAAAGAAAAAAAAAAAAAAAAAAAAAAAGGTCGACCAACACAAAAGCAGCTGCCCATTGCCCCAAGTGCGCGGTGCGGAGCGATCCTCCCCTCGCAGAACACCTCCCCCGCCCCGATGGGCCGCATCAGGAGTTATTAACCCTTTTGTTTCAGCGCAGCCCCGGAGGTGGCTTTCCAGCAGCGGGCAGAGATTTACATGTGGAAACATCACCTCCATCCCCCAACCTAACCATATGCACAAAGGAAAACAGTCATGCATTAAACATGGGATTTATTGCCTTCTGGCCAGCTTGCCGATTCTTAAGTCACCATTAACCGGACCCAACAATTGCACATTTCGACTCAAAGAAGAGAGAAGGGGGAGGAGGAAAAAAATTAAGAGCCCTAACCTCCTGCGGTTTGGGAATCAACAGCTCCCGTAACGTGCATTGGTATCGATCAATTCCAGGACTGGAATCCTCCCTCACCTCCCCCCTCCCCCCCAGAAAAGCAGCCCATTTGGGAAGGCAAAGAATCCCCCAAAGCTTTAGAGCTGACCTACAGAAGTGCTTGACCACAACACCCACAGTTCTAAGGAAGCGGCCGGGGCCGCTCCGGCAGTTCTTCCCGCACCGCTACGGACCCCGGGGCCACCGCCGCCTCCCCGGGAGCTGCCCCCGCTCCTCCGTACTGCCCGGGGTGCGGAGAGCGGGGAGAGCCTGCAACGCAGAGGAGCCCCGCGGGGAGATGGGGCTCCGCCGGGGGAAGCCGGGCACGGAGACAGCCCCGAGCCTTTCTCTCTCCTGCGGGGAAACGCCGGCAAACAGCCACTTCTCTGCACGCCCACCCAGGGCTCTGGGCTAATTGAAGTTTAAATATATCCTTTCCTCTTCCCTTCGCAAGGCAAAGGGCTGCGAGCTCACCGAAAAGGAGGCAGAGTGATTTGCGGGAGAGAAATCCCCCGCACCACCCAAATACAAAGCGCTCCCGCACACCCCGCGTTAGCTCACCGGAGTTATTTTAGGAAGTCGGAAATCAAAGATGGCTGGAGGTCAAGCTACAAAAGGTCCAGGGCGATTGTGATCTCCAACAAAAATAGTCCGAGCGCTTCCCCCCCCCCCCCCCCCCCCAACCTCTTTTTTCTCCTTTTAAAAGCCCCACAAAGTCTTCATCTAACTACCGAAAAATAGGCAAATCGGGCAACCGAACGAGTTATTTCCTACCCCCGAGAAGATGGTTCACAATTCCTTCCGTCCCCCCCCCCACCCAAAATCCTTTCCGCCCCAGGGAAGGTTTGGGGGTCCCCTCCCACGGGGCCGCACCCTGAGCGTACGGGGCCGCCGCACCCCGCGCCCCCCAGGCGGGATCCGGCGCTGCTCCGCGGGACGGGGGGGGGAAGCGGGGCACCGGAGGCCGCCACGGCGAGGGCCCCTGGGGCCGTGCTGCGGGCAGCACCAACCCGCAACACCCCCGTGCGGGCAGCCCCGTGGAGCAACTCCGCGGTGGGCCCCCGAAGGCGAGCGGAGCGCCCCCAGAAAGCCAGCGGGGAACCGGGTCGGAACCCGACGGGGGAAGGAGCAGAGGGCGAAGCACGAGGGTGAAGAAAAGCGCCCCCCCCCGAGATCGCCCCGCTGCCTCCGCCGCGCATCAGCCGGGCTGCAAAGCACCGCGGCCCCCCCTTACCACTTGCAGCATCTGGGGGCTGCTCCTCGGAGTTGATGTGCTGGGGCTTCGCCTGCTTCCGTCGCGACATGGTGCACCAGCATCGGGAGCAAAATAGTAGCAATTATTTTCCTCTTCACAACAAATTCCTAGAGTTGGGAAATTACCCCCATTGGGCGGAATGCGCATGTCAGAGTAATTATGATTATCAATAATGCATTGCGATTTATCATGGGTCCCTGACAGCTGATTGGCCTGAGTCCAAGGGCTCACAGATTATTCAAATAAGGTCCATTGATCAGGGCGCACCGGGGCACGCTGGGCGATGTAGTCCCGGCTCGGCCCCGCGCGGCGACAAAGGCGGTGCGGCCCGGGGGGGGGGGAGCAGATCCCGCTCGGGGAGTAAACAAACACGCGGCCGACAGGGCCGATGGCTTCCTTATCTCACCTGCGCTTTTTATATTGCACTTCTGAGATACATTTTTTTTTTTTTTTTTTTTTTTTTACCTCCCTAAAGAAAGCAAGCAAACAGAAGCAAAGGACAATACTAATTTCCCTCTTGTCGTTAGATAAGGTGGAAACGAGATTGTCCGAAGCGGGGTCTGCTGGTGCTGCAGCACGTTGAGGGGCTTTACGAGCGGATCCAGACGGCGTGTAATTACGCTTGGCGTTGCTTCATTTGTTTAAAGCCTTCTTTTAAGTCTCACTTTCTGGGGAGCGACAAAATCGGGCCAGTCGCGTTTTTTAAAAAAAAAACAAGAAAAAAACAAACAAACAAACAAAAAACAACAACAACAAAAAAAACCAACACGTTGCACGCGTGAAGGATTCATGTGAAAAACTCGAAGCAAGAACGATGGCGCGCACCACGTTAATTGCGTCGGTACAGAGCGGAATCCGTTTCATATTTTCCCTCCTGTTTGATCACACGTGAAAAAAACGCACCACCGTTACCCCCCCCCCCCCTCACCCCCCCCCCAGCCCCAACCGGGTCACCGCCCCGCCGCCGGCCGCGGCACACAGCCGGCCGCTCCGCCCGCCCCCAGCGCAGCAGCGGAGCCCACCGGGATACGGGGTCGGGCGTGCGGCTGCGGGACGGTTTGGAAGAGCGAGCTGCAAGACGGGCGTGGGAGTCCTGAGCTCCTCTGCTTTCGTGCTGAATCCCTTCCAGGGACTGTGAAAAAATGGAGCGGGGTGACGAGGCACCGGGGAGTGCTTGATTTGGCCGAGGGGTGATTGAATCATAGAGTGGCCTGGGTTGAAAAGGCCCACAGCGATCAATCGGTTCCACCCCCTGTTGTGTGCAGGGTCGCCAGCCACCAGATCAGGCTGCCCAGAGTCACATCCAGCCTGGCCTCGAATGCCTCCAGCGATGGGATTACATTCATTTGGGTTCAGAAGATGGAGGTTTGGCCTGTTGGACCCCATGTTTGCTTACCATTGTGTCCCTCAGCAAACTGCTTGCCGGGGTCTGTGCCTCAGTTTCCCACTTGTAAAATGAGGACAGCATTTTCCCAGCTGCGAAGCTGCGGGACTGCAGACATCAATCCATAGAGCTGTGGGTGGAGGGGGTGGGGGGATGACTCAGGAGGGTGATTTAGAGAGAAAAAGCCAAATCTTGCTAAAAGGTGGGGGGAGGAAACAATGGTAGATGACTGGGCCGTGCTGTTGCCACAGCCCATTGCACAATGCCACAGTCTCCTTTTACTGGTGACTTTTTCAGCATTTTTATCAGCAAAATTTGGGATCTGTACCATTATTTTAAAGTTTGAGCTGTGGACACAGCCATGTCAGGTGCCCATAGGACTGCAGGACTGACTGCTTTGCGGGTTGTGTGGGCCAGCCATGAAAGGACCTCAGCACTGCAGACCCGGGGGAGCCGTGCACCGTGATCTTGGTTATGTTCTCTTGGAGTTTTGTTTTCCTTTTGTAGTGTCTCCTGAGGGGCTTTATTTAGGGAAGGATAATACAAATCTTAGAGAAAATGCGGTGGAGCAGAAGGTATCACCTTCCTCCTTGGGCAGCTGTTGGAGATTGGGGAACAAATTCTGTTTTTCACACCACTGTCCTTGCCCTTTCCTCAGTCCACAAATATCACAAATATCACAATGCCTCACAAAGCCCTCCTTTTGGTGGGGTATGCTTAACACGCAGGAGAAACTCTATTTAGTCGTATGGAATAGCACAGATTAACAGGTATTTAAAATCATT